GGGAGCTCCACCGAAGGCCCCAAGGCCCCAGTGGCAGGGTCCGCATGGCGGCCCCGCATTTTGGCGCACCCCTCACACGGTTCGTGGCCCCATAGGGAGCTCCACCGAAGGCCCCAGTGGCAGGGTCCGCATGGCGGCCCCGCATTTTGGCCCGCCCTCACACGGTTCGTGGCCCCATAGGGAGCTCCACCGAAGGCCCCAGTGTCAGGGTCCACATGGCGGCCCCGCATTTTGGCGCACCCCTCACACGGTTCGTGGCCCCATAAGGAGCTCCACCGAAGGCCCCAGTGGCAGGGTCCGCATGGCGACCCCGCTCCAGGTCGGCGCACCCCTCACACGGTGCGTGGCCCCATAGGGAGCTCCGCCGAAGGCCCCAATGGCAGGGTCCGCATGGCGGCCCCGCCCCATTTTGGCGCACCCCTCACACGGCTCGTGGCCCCATAGGGAGCTCCACCGAATGCCCCAGTGGCAGGGTCCGCATGGCGGCCCCGCCCCATCTTGGCGCACCCGTCACACGGTTCGTGGCCCCATAGGGAGCTCCACCGAAGATGATGCCCACAATTGCGGTATTAACACTTGCTTATGGTTGGGTCTTTCGCCAGGCTAATTTTGTTATGCCGCTTTTTGGATAATCTGGTTTGGCTGGTCTGGTTGGTCTGGTTTGAGCTTCGTCTTGCAGCCTTAGCTTACGTATTTTGCATATGGCCTGGCTGGTCTGGTTGGTCTGTTTTAAGTTTCATCTTGCAGCCTTAGCTTAGGATCCGAGCGAGGGTGTAGGGGAGGTCCGGCGAGGCGGCGCCAACCGCCACGACGACGACCGAAATGCCGTTGTTGTTATGCATTGTAGTTGTTTGTTGCTTTGTAGTTTCCATCCTGCGGTGTTGGGTCCTCGTTTTGAAGAGACGGAGGCCCGCGTCTCCTCTCCTCCTCTCCTCCTCCCCCTCCTCCTTGCGTTTCACCCACCCAGCACAACGTTTCGTAGCCCTATAGGGAGCTCCACCGAAGGCCCCATTGGCAGGGGCCGCCATGCTCGGGCCATTTCGGCACACCCCTCACGAGGATCGTGGCCCCATAGGGAGCTCCACCGAAGGCTCCAGTGGCAGGGGTCGCATGGCGGCCTTGGGCCATTTCGGCACACCCCTCACGAGGATCGTGGCCCCAAAGGGAGCTCCACCGAAAGCGCCAGTGGCAGGGGTCGCATGGCGGCCTCGGGCCATTTCGGCACAACCCTCACGACGATCGTAGACCCATAGGGAGCTCCACCGAAGGCGCCAGTGGCAGGGTTCGCATGGCGGCCTCGGGCCATTTCGGCACACCCCTCACGAGGATCGTGGCCATAGGGAGAGCCACGGAAGCGCCAGTGTCAGGGAACGCATGGCGACACTTGGCCATTCGGCACACCAGTACGACGATCGTGGACCCATAAAGGGAGGTAGCTCACGAAGGCGCCAGGTGGCAGGGTTCGCATGGCGGCCTTGGGCATCGGGCACACCCTCACGCGATTCGTGACCCATAGGGAGCTCCACCGAAGGCCCTAGTGGCAGGGTTCGCATGGCGGCCTCGGGCCATGTCGGCACACCCCTCACGAGGATCGTGGCCCTATAGGGAGCTCCACCGACTGCCCCCAGTGGCAGGGTTCGCATGGCGGCCTCGGGCCATTTCGGCACACCCCTCTCGAGGACCGTGGCCCCATAGGGAGCTCCGCCGAAGGCCTCCAGTGGCAGGGTTCGCATGGCGGCCCCGCATCATTTGGGCGCACCCCCCACGAGGATCGCGGCCCCATAGGGAGCTCCACCGAAACCCGAAACCCCCAGTGGCAGGGTTCGCATGGCGGCCCCGCCCCATATTGGCGCACCCCTCACGAGGATCGTGGCTCCGCGGGGAGGGCTGCCACCGAGGAATGCCACAGTGGCAGGTTCGCATGGCGGCCCCGCCCCATTCGGCACGCCCCTCACGAGGATCGTGGCCCCATGGGGAGCTCCACCGAAGGCCCCAGTGGCAGGGTTCGCATGGCGGCCTCGGGCCATTTCGGCACACCCCTCACGAGGACCGTGGCCCCACTGGAGCTCCACCGAAGGCGCCAGTGGCAGGGTTCGCATGGCGGCCCCGGGCCATTTCGGCACACCCCTCACGAGGATCGTGGCCCCATAGTTGTGCTGCTTCAACAACCGCGCCTGGGCGTCGTACTCCGCCTTGTCGACGTGCAACGCCACCTCCTCCGTCATGGCTCTCAAGGCCCTTTCCTGCTTCTGCTCCTCGGTGAGAGGGACGCCGTCCTTGTCGTCGTCGGCGCCCGCGAAGACGGCCACGAACGTGTCCCTGAGCATGTCGGGCTCCGGCGGGAAGCCGTGGCCACATAGGGAGCGCGGGCGAAGATGGTATTTACAATTGCGGTATTTATAGTTGTATATGGTTGGGTCTTTCGCCAGGATAATTGTTGTATTGCAGTTTTTGTTGCATCTGGTCTGGTTGGTCTGGTTGGTCTGGTTTGAGTTTCGTCTTGCAGCCTTAGCTTAGCTATGGTCTGGTTGGTCTGGTCTCGTTCATTGGTCTGCTCTGGTTGGTCTGGTCGGGTCTGGTTTGTCTGCCTATTCTCAGGAGCGAACTGAAATACAGGACGGCGGACGGACACAACGGGCCTCGGGGGCGAACTGAAATACAGGACGGCGGATACTCCGGGACTCGTGGGCGAACTGAAGGACGGCGGACACCCGTGTATCGCACGGCGGGACGCAAAGCTTGCAAAGAGCAAGTCTGGCTCCCAGAGGAAACAACGAAAAAGGAGGAAGATAAGGGAAGGAAAAGGAGGAAGAGGACGAAGATGAGGACGACGAGGAAGATAGGAGGTCCAATGCCGCCGTCTGCGGAGGAGCGTGGCCGCGCGTTGGCGCCGCCAGGTGTTCTTCCAACGCCCTCACCACGACACAGACCAACCATACCAGCCAGACCAACCAGACTAGCGCACGGCGGGACGCCAAGCTTCAACTGAGCAAGCGTAAAGCTTGGGACTTAAGCTCCAGCTTAAGACTTAAGCTGGTCTGGTTGGTCTACCTGGCCGATCTGCATTGCTAGCCTGACTGGCCAGGTCTGGCCTGGTTGGTCTGCTTGGTCTGGCCAGGTTGGTCTGGTCTGGGTTTCGCTGGTCTGAACGGCTAGCTGGTCTGCCTGGTTTGGTTGGTCTACCTGACTAGTTGGGCTGGCTGGTCTGACTAGTCTGCTTGGTCCGGGCAGGTTGGTCTGCTTAGTTTGGTCTGTGCTTCGCTGGTCCGAACGGCTGGCTGGTCTGGTTGGTCTGATTACTCTACCTGGCTGGTGTGGTTGGCCTGCCTGGCCGGTCTGACTGGGCCGTCTAGCTAGTCACTCGTGGCCGTCGTCCTCGTCCTCGCCCTCGATTTCCTCGTCGTCGTCGTCGTCGTCGTCGTCGTCGTCGTCGTCGTCGTCGTCGTCGTCGTCGTCATGGTCCTGCCCCTTGCGTCGCCGCAGCCGGGGCTGGGACCGAAAGCGCTGCTGCGTCAAGTCCGGCTGTGGCGGAAAGGGAGGTGGGAAGCGAGGGAACATCAGCAGCCATATCAGTTCTTATGCCCCAAAGCAAAGTACATCAGTCGCTGGGGCAGCAGAATGTTTCGCCTCGTTCGGCGTAAAGTAAAACGAACTTTTCCGCCGCGGGGGACGCCTGCCCCCCGGGCGCGGCTGGAAAGCTGATACCCTTACGGTGCCACGCAGGGGTATAAACTTTCCAGTCGCCCAGGGGCAGGCGCCCCCGCTGGCCATCGCTCGGACGTCCATTCCCTATGTTTTTTTCGGTTTCGTGCGTGGCTTTTTTCGCCAAATCATCAAGGATGCTCCTCGATGGTCCTCGCCGAAAAAAATGCACACGTCCGAGCGATGCCAAGCCCGACGGCGAAAAGTGTATTTTGTACCGCTCTTCGCCCCCTCACCGATCCCATCCAGCGTGTGCCCGACCCCCGCGGGTCGGTTCCCCGGGCGGCGCGCGCGCACGGGGGCCAACCGAGCTGTGGGCCTCGCATGCTCGCGAGACCCTGTCTTGGAGGGCTCGCCGTCTCCCCTAATTACCCCCTTTCCCTCCCAGCTCCTCCCCCTTGGCTCCCCTCGCCCCAGCTCCCCCGGACGCACCCCCGCCTCACGGTTGTCCTCCTCTCTCCCCGGACCTGACCCTCTAGGCTCGTGAGAGTGCACCCGAGCTCCAGAGCCCCCATGCCTGAAAACTAGTTGGTCTACGAAGGCTCGTTACCGGGCCCGCCCTCGGAAATGGGGTTACGTCAAGAGCCGTTCCGCTGAGGAGAAGGGGCACTGAGTGTACCACGAGTATCTTCTCTTGGACTGGTCTTAGACCCCCGGAGTTCGCAACAGCCATGTGAAATCAGCGGCTGCTTGACTGGTCTTAGACCTGACTCTCGGGATGTGAAATCAGCGGCAGCTTGACGACCCAGTGGGCCGCGAACTGAACTGTTTTGGACGATAGACAAGGTGAGAGGCTGCCAATCGTGAAATGTGCGATGCTCTCACTCCTTTGCCACACCTTTAGTGCTGGACGACTCTTTGAAATTCGTTAGCGCCCTACACAAAAAATAGCAAAGCTAAGTCTGGCAAACCATCATGGAGTAAGTATATGTTTTGCCTGAGACTGGCGGCCCACCTCAAACAGAAGCTGCTCGCTGCTTGCCACCAACCTGCCAGGCTCAGTGAGGCGACCCTAGACCACGCCAACTTGCCTGTCCTTTGCGCGAATTCGACGGGCGCGTTTCGGTGAACATCTCCAGCCACACAATGAATGAGTCAAACTCGTCCCTTCTGGGGAAACCAACAAGTACTGATACCGCTACTCGCCGGACCTCTCCTGGGGTGCGTTCTGACCAGGATCTCGAATCGAATCCAGCCGTGGCGACGAGGGCCTCCCAGGAGGCCCCCAAAGGGAAAAACGAGGGAAGGGTAGCGTTATCGGCATCTTTTCCTCCTCTGACCTGCTGTTCGCGCGTAACCTGTGCTTGCGGCCATCGTGCTCCAGCGAGATGGTGAGCTCCTCGCTGTTGCTCTCTCCCAAGAGCGGCTCGAGCCCGAGCCGCAAGCTGCCCCGAGGCTTCCCCTCCTCGTCAGACCACGCGAGGAAGCTGCGGTTCTCCATGCTCGAATGCGAGATCGTGTAGATGCGCTCCCCCCAGATTCCCGTGTGGGACCCGGCCTCGGGGAGGTCGTCCACACGCCCACGGGCCGATCCCGCCCCGCCCCCAGCCCATCCCTTTCTCCCCTCGCCGCCCCGCCGCCGCCGCTGCCGCCGCTGCCGCCGCCGCCGCCGCCGCCGCCGCCGCCGCCGTCGTCGTCGTCGTCGTCGTCGTCGTCGTCGTCGTCGTCGTCGTCGTCGTCGTCGTCGTCGTCGTCGTCGTCGTCGTCGTCGTTCTCGCCCGCCTGCCTCGGGAGGGCGAGGGAGGAGGGGAGCAAGAGGGGAAGGAGGGGCAGTGGTGGGTGTGGCTGCAGGAAGACCCCAACCAAGAGCGCAGCATGAAGACGTGGTAACAGAGTGCGGAAGAAAACTTATAATAGGAATAACATGGAATGATAACTATACGCAAACAACAAGAACAATAATGAGAAAAATAAGACGAATAATAATCAGAAGAAGAGGGGGAGGAGGTGGAGGAAGAGGAGGGGAGGAGTGCATCCATGCTCACGCTGCTAAGGGACCCTCCAAGGGATCGGCGGGTGCGGCGAGGGTCCCCGCCAAGACGAGGGGGGACGCCCCTCGATCCTCGATCCCCCCTCAAACGTCTGCGCCTGTGCCTGCCCAGGGGCGCGCTCTGACCAGACTTCCAGGGCGCGGATCCCGCCACGGCGACGAGGACGCACCTGGACGCGCACGTGGACACGACGCATGTCGCACGGCCCAGGGGAGCAGAAGGCGGAGACGGAGGCGGAGGAGGACCTCCTCGCTTGCACAAGTGGATCCGAGGCCGTCCACGGCCACGGCACGACCGAAGAACGGACCGAACCGACGGCGACGCCGAAGCCGACCGGCCGCGGGCAGCCTGGAAGGTCGCGGCGGCACGACCGCCGAACCGACCGAACCGCGGACGCCCTGGCACGGTTGTCGTCGCAGAGATAGCGCGCAACACCGATCTCCGGAAGGCGCGCTGGCCCCCACAAGAACGCTTCCTCCGTGCACACCGTCCCTGCGAGGCGGTCCCCCCTGCCAGGGCACCTGCTGCGCACGCCACCCCCCTGCCGGGGCTTCTCTGGCGCGCTCCATCCCGAGGTGGGGAGAGCAGGCAATAAGCGGGCCGACCGCGCCACGTCGCGTGCTCATCGCCAACCGTAAATCCCTGCCCCGGGGGTGGTTTGGATGCGGTGAGGGTCTCCGGGCGCCTTGTTCATGAGGAAGTGGCGGACCATGCTGTCCTCTGGGATCACCCGTGCCATGCGCGCGTCCAGCGGGAAGCCCAGGAGGACCTCCCTTGCCTTCGTGCCGAAATTGGGGAGGTCCGTCGTCCCTGGCTCCAGGAGGGTGGGAGAAGGGAGAGGTACAGTCGGGAACTTTTGCTTAGCGTGTCGCGGCGGCAGCCCCGGCGACGCGCTGTGCCCTGCAAGCGGATGGCGCGTCGCTCCGCTCCGCGGGGCGGGAGGCTCGGAAAGGCTTGGGACGTAGAAGCCTGGGGACTGGGAAGTGTATGGCGTGTCGCGCCGAAGCCGGCGGAGCGACAGAAGTTCCCGACCGCAGGAGGGAAGAGAAAGGAGGAGGGAGGAGGCACGAGGCAGGATGCAGACGAGGAGGAAGAACAAGGAGCGGGAGGCGGGAAAGGGAGGACGAGGGAGGAGGAGGAGGAGGAGGAGGAGGAGGAAAAGGGGGACTGGAGGTGCGAGCGAGGAGGTGCGGCGCCAGGGAGGGAGGAGAGAGGAAAGGGGGGAGGATGGTGGATGCAGAGGCTGGAGGAGGAGGGAGGGGGGAGGGGGGTAGGGAGGATAAAGAGCAGGCGGAGGAGGAAGGACATACGAGAGGAGGAGGAGGAGGAGGAGGAGGAGGAGGAGGAGCAGGAGGAGGAGGAGGAGGAGAAGGGAGGAAGGAGGAGCGAGGAGCGAGGAGCGAAAAGGGGGGAAGAAGGAAGCAGACAAGAGGAGGGAGGAGAGGAGGCAAGATCAATCATAATCGAATCGAGGAGTCGGATCGAGCCGCATCGGCACGGAGTCAGAACTCAATCGGATCGGCCGTGCCAGGATGCACAGCACAGCGCCATGGAAACATCGGGCCGCATCGGACTGCAGGAATGTCGGACTCGAACCCACGAGCTTTACAATTCGCCGGCCCAACGGGCCAGAAGCGTGCTAAGATCTCCGGTAACTTGTTAACAATATTTCTAGTTCGCGCGCGCGGAGCGGCCCCTGGGGGCCCCCGGACGAAAAGTACCCCGGCAAGGTCCCGAGAGAAGCCCGGGAGAAGCCACCAGACCACTCCAGGGGAGGGTATTTTTCGACACCCCTCACGAGGATCGTGGCCTCCGAGGGGGGAGCCGCAATCGACTACCCCCAAGAGCCCCCCAAGAGGCCCTGGGGGCCTCCAAAACGCCGCCAAGGAGCCTCAAGAGACTCCCAAGAGGTCCCCAAGAGGCCCCCAAGAGGCCCTAAAGAGGGCTCCAGGGCCAGCGGCATGAGCGAAGCGATTAAATAAACCGTCCAGAAACCCCATACGAAAACGCTCACACACCCCTCCCCCGAGAACTTCTCTGCTCCCCTGGGGGCCGACGGAATGGCCTAAGCCTCGAGGACATCTGACTCCAATCGGACAATGCGGTGTTGCGAAAGTTCCTTGTATTTCGGTCGCCTTCGCCCGACTACATGCCATGCCCGACGGCGTGGTCACCCCCCGCGAGAGCGGCCCCGGGTCGAGGAGCAAAAGACGACATGAACGGAAACTTCTGGAGGCCCGCGCGGATGCCTTGGATCCGCGCCGGACCCCCTCTCCCTGGCGCGCGGAGCGCGCCGGACGGGCGGCGCCGGGGCCCCAGCGCGGATCCAAGAGATCCGCGCGGAGCGCCGAAAGTAGGGGGCCGCATGCGAACCCTACCCCTACCCCCCACGAGTTCTGAGGGGGAGGGTGGGGTTCACTTCGCTCGGGAGCTCCCCTGGAAATTTTGTGCTTATGGCGTCTTTTCTTCTTCGACCGAGGGGGTCATGGCTCGGGAGGCGTCTTGCTGCCTACCCCCACCGCCCCAGGGGGCCCAGCAGTGCACTCGTCCTGCGCGGTCTCCAGGCGGGGCCCCCCGCCCCGTCTGGTGTGCAGGGCCTCGGAAGAGTAGCGAACACGCATGCCACGCTCATCGGTCAACGACTCCCCCACCAGAATCGGGGGCGCGCAAACATGGATTGGCGATCCATGGATTTGGCGTGCGGTCACCAAATCCATGGATCGGGGAAGTGCCCCCCCAAAATGCGGCCGGTGCCGCCTCGTTCGGCAACGGAACTCCGCGATCTCCCATGGAAGCGGGACCCGTCGCTCATCCACGCCCCCTTGATCCATGTTTGCCATCGCCTGACAGAAGGGGGGGCCACTACAGAAGGGGGGGCACCACCAGAAGGGAGGAGGAGGAGGAGGAGGAGGAGAGGAGGAGAGGAGGAGGGAGGAGGAGGAGGAGGAGGAGGAGGCGGAGGGGAGAGGAGGGGAGGAAGAGGAGGAGGGAGAGGAGGGGGAGGGAGGAGGGAGGGAGGAGGGAGGGAGGGAGGGAGGGAGGAGAGGGAGGGAGGGAGGAGGGAGGGAGGGAGGGGGGAGGGGGAGGAGGAGGAGGAGGAGGAGGGGAGGAGGGGAGGAGGAGGAGGAGGAGGAGGAAGGGAGGAGGAGAAGGAGGAGAGAGGAGGGAGGGAGGAGGACACCAGAAGGGGGCCAACATGGGCCCCTCGTCGCCCCACTCGCCGCCGGCCCGGCCCTGGGCGCCCCGCGCCGCCCGGGGAGGCCTCCCCCCTCGGGAGAGGCAGCTCCCGGGGGCCTCCCGGTGCCATCTCGTCGGCGCTGGCGGGTCGACGCCTGCGGGTCGACGCTGCCTCGACGCGAATCGACGCTAGCCGACGCTAATTCGGCGCTATGTCTCATCGACTCCTGGGCGCTGATCGATGGGAGGGCACCAACTATACACCAACACCGATCCTGGCCCAGGATCACCCTGGGCCCAGGATCGGTGTATATGCCTTCTTGCGCAAGGCAGGAGGGCGTATACACCGATCCTGGGCCCAGGGTGATCCTGGGCCAGGATCGGTGTTGGTGTATAGTTGGTGCCTTCCTAGATCGACGCTCGTCGGCGCCAGCGGCGGAACTGCGAGGGCATGCCAGGCTCCCAGGACCTGCTGCCGGCTCCTGCCAGATTCAGCGGTCAACGCCTTCCCCTCCCCAAAAATGTGCAGAGGTGGCGGTGGGTCTGATGAATTGCGCTTCGACCGTCCTCCGCGCGCGTCCGCTCTGAATTCGGGGGAGGGGCAGTGTCCAATGTCCACCGTTTGCTTCCTTCTACCGCATCATAACGGTATGGCTTCGGGCCCGGAAGTAAAGCGTCCCACCAACAACAGGTCATCCTGGCGAAGGACCCGACCACGTGCAGCTGCAAGTATCGCGAGGCGGCCGAGATGAAGGAGAGGGCCAGCAAAAGGACTGCGGCGCGGATGAGGGGGGGGTACACTGACGTGGGCGTACGGGGGCCTCCTTGGTCCCGTGCGACGCCGTTCCGTGCCCGTTTCCTTCCCAACTCTGTCTCCCCTGTTCTTGTTGCCGCTGCGCGTTGCATTCCTACCCGCCCGGCCGCCGCTCACCCTGGCCCTGGATGGGGCCAAGAAGCGTGTAAGGGGTGTGCCGAAATGAAGCGGCGGGGCCATGCGGACCCTTGCATTCTGGGCCTTCATTGGAGCTCTCTGTGTATAAAGGTCACGAAACGTGTGAGGGGTGTTCCGACATGAAGCGACGGGGCCATGCGGACCCTAGCATTTGGGCATGAGCAGGGGCTCTCTAGTGGGCCACGAAACGGAAACGGGTGTGCCACAACGAAGCGGTGGAGCCATGCGGACCCTGGCCTTTGGGCCTCAGTTGATGCTCCCTATGGGGCCACGAAGCGTGTGAGCGGTGTGCCGAAATGAGGCGGCGGGCCAGGCGGAACCTGGCACGTGGAGACGAGCCGGAGCTCCCTATGGGTCCACGAAGTGTGTGAGGGGTATGCCAGCACGAAGCGGCGGGGCCATGCGAACCGCGGCGCTTGGGCTCAGTTTGAGCTCCCCACGGGCCACGAAAAGGAGACGGGCGTGCCAAAACCAAGCGGCAGAGCCATGCGGACCGTGGCATTTGGATCTTGGTTGATGCTCCCTATGGGGCCACGAAGCGTGTGAGCGGTTTGCCGAAATTTGCATGCGGAGGGCAAAGGCAATGGTGGGAGGAGGGGGAGGAGGAGAGGATGATGCGGGGCGCTGTCCCATCAAAACGAGGACCCAACACCACAAGATAATTGGGAATGAGGTTCCCATAAAACTCGGGTGGGATGCAAATCCTGCAGCTTGATTGCGTATTGGCGGTGGCTTGGAAACATCTTGAGAGTGTCCCTGGAGTGTTCCCAAAGGAACTTTTGTTGCGGCCAAGAATGGCCGGCAAGAGCCGATATCGGATGGGAGCGAAATGGACCGTGGGAGGTATAGGAGGGCTGATGGAACAGAGGAGAGAGGACAGAGGAGCGAGAGGGAGGGCAAATAGGACAGGGAGGAGGAGAGGAGGGGGGAGAGAAAAGATGAGCACTCCTGGCTGCACTCCGCTCGGATCTGCGGCGATCGCGTCGTCGCGCTCGAAAAACACGGCGCCGGGACCCCGTCCGGCGGCGCGCGAGCAGAATACCCCCGCGTTGTTCAGCGGGCGCACGACGCGCACACCCGTGGCGAGGCTGTTGGCACGCCTGCACCGTCCTCTCCCCCTCGTCCTCGTTCCCCTCCTGCTCTTCGTCCTCCTCGTCCCCCTCCTCCGTCCTCTGTCTTTGTGGATTAGCTGCTCCCTGTCGGGCCCCCAGGCGTGCCGGCACTGGCGGGGCATTTTGCCTGAGGCTTCCCACCCTTGGCGATCCCGAAGCTCGAAGCCTGCAACAGCTTCACGGACAAAGTTGGTGTGGTCTTCAGGAGATGGTTCTCGCCTTAGCACCGCGCGCGTTTGTTTGACATGTTTGCAGCAAGTACACGGATGGAGGGCGGCTCCTCTTCAGAGTGTGACCCTTGCCCTAGCGCCGCGCACATATGTTGTAAAAGGTTTGCAGGAGGGAGCTGGGATGGCATTCAAAACGTGGCTCTCGCTTCAGCGCCGCGCATATTTCTCTGAACACTTTGCAGCGTTCTCACACATGAGAGGGGGGTTGTTTTCAAAATGGTGCGTTCGCCTTCAAGCCGCGCCACGATTGTGTTTCTGTTGTTTGTTAAAACGTTTGCAACAGTTCTTGAGGGCGGTTCCTTTTCAAAATGTGGCTCTCGCGTCAACGCCGCGTGCATTCGTTTTTTTTTTTTTTTTTTTTTTTTTGTTTTTTAAAGTCCTAACAAGATGGAAGACTGCTTCTTCAAAACGGAGTTGTCGCATGAGACTTCGCTAAATTTCATGGCCAGGGACTTCAACGCACGTGGCGCTGCATGGATCCATGGCAGCTCTTCTTCAGAATGGAGCTGTCGCTGCAGAGTTCCGGGGGGCGGTCCTTTTTCGAAATGGGGGGGATCTCGCTGGACGCCTCCTTTGACTGTATAATCGTTGTCTTTCGCCTTCATGTCTAGGCGCCACGAAACCGCGAGTGAGTTCCTTTCCAGAGTGGGGTCCTCGCCAAGATGGCAGGCCCAGGCCCGCCTGTGATGGTCTTTCAAGGGGGCGCTTCTTGTAATTAGTGGAAAGCGAGACTGGTAGTGGTGTATGAGAAGATTTTGTGTGACGGGAGGGTGTGTTGCAGCATCGTTTATGAATAGTTGGTTTAGTCTGGTCCTCTTCCTCCTCCTCCTTCACCTCCTCCTCCTCCTCCTCCTCCTCCTCCTTATCCTCCTCACCCTCTTCCTCCTACTTTTCCTCCTCCTATTCCTCCTGCTCCCCTGAATGTCACTCCCGCGTCGTCGGCGTCCTCCTCCTCCTCCTCCTGCTCCTCCTCCTCCTACATCTCCTCACGTTCCTCCTCCTCTTATCCCCCAAATTGCCCAAATGCCCACCACCCATCCATTTTGGGCAGAAAGAGAAGTCTGGGTCCAACCCCGCGCGGTTAACGTGGACGATCCGTGGTATGTCGAAAGTGCTGAAGTCTGGGGTGGCATCGAAACTAGGCTGGTGATCTTTCTCCTCCCTCCTCCACCTTCCCCTCCTATCTCGACGTCGAAACAAGGGACTGAGGACGAGTGTCAACGAGGGCATAATCCATCTTTTCTCTCCCTCCTCCTCCCACTCCCGATCCCTCCTCCTCCCCCTCTCCCTCCCCCTCCTCCTCCTCCTCCTCCTCCTCCTCCACCTCCTCCCTACTACGAGGGCCAGGTCAAGGTCGAGTTCTCGGCCACTGCGACCGCGGCGGAGTCGTTGCTCAGGAGGTGGGCAAGATCAACAGAATCGATGTGGAAGAATGGACCAACGAGGTGGGCAACGCACCCGTGAAGTTGTGCAGGCCCGGGAATAGCGGCAACGACGGCCAGATCAAGATCGCCCTCTCCATCGCCTACCTGGAGGGGGGGGAAGACCTTCGTGGATTCGTTCAGGTCCCTGGGGGCCCAAGTGACGACGGGCCAAGAGGAGGAGCTGCGCGCTTGGATCGACGCCCCCAAAGCCTAGCTGGTGATGAATGGGACCCAGATGAGCAAGAGCGATTCTCTGGGATGTGAATCATGATTCTGACGTGTGGCCTAGCACTGACCGCCGCCTCTTGCCCCTGGTGGCGAGGCGGTGCAGCCGAGGCACCCGCAAAAAACAGTGAAGTGGCTGACGCCACGGACAGCGAGTGTTGAAGACCTCAGTGGTCTGAGTTTTGTGCCTGCGCCCTGTGGCCCTCGCCCCACCCGCGTGTCGCCTCCCCCTCCTCCCTCGGCCTTCTCGGTCGCGTCCCTCGGGCCCTTCGGTTCGGTTCGCTCCCCGTTCGGTCCTGCCCGTTCGGGCCCCTCGTGGTCGGTTCGGCCCCGCCCTCTGTGTGCGCGACGCGGTGCAGCGATGTAGCGTGCGAATCTTCTCTGGCACGCGAGTTTCCCAGTGGCAGGATAACCCACTCAATGGCTGCGTACTACTACTACTACTACTACTACTACTACTACTACTACTACTACTACTACTACTACTACTACTACTACTACTACTACTACTACTACTACTACTACTACTACTACTACTACGACTACTACTACGACTACGACTACGACTACGACTACGACTACGACTACACTACGACTACGACGACTACGACTACTACTACGACTACTACTACTACGACTACTACTACTACGACTACTACTACTACTACTACTACTACTACTACTACTACTACTACTACTACTACTACTACTACTACTACTACTACTACTACTACTACTACTACTACTACTACTACTACTACCTCCTCCTCCTTCTCCTCCCTCCGTTCTGCCGGCGCGCCTGGCCGGTCCAGGCGGCAGCAAGTGCGCGAAAGCATGGCGCGACCAACCGTTGTGGCCCACCAGCAGCAGCCTGTCGGCTTCCCGGAACAGCTCGCCGAGCACATGGTTTTTGAAGGCAGCAATCCGCCGACCACCACAGGCGGAGTCGGAGCCAGAGGATGGGGAGGAGGAGAAGGAGGAGGAGGAGGAGGAGGAGGAGTTGGAGGAGCAGGAGAAGGAGAAGGAGGAGAAGGAGGACCATGGTAAAACCAAAGAAACACACCCCTCGAGTCCCAAGCCACTTCCTCATACGCCCCTACAGGTCCCAATTCACTACGAGAAGCGCCCCCTTGCAGGACCATCACAGATGGGCCTGCCATTTTGGCGAAGGCTCCGCTTCGGAAAGGAATCGCCTTGGATCTCAGCGGCGCCCAAGCAGGAACGCGAAAGACAATGATCGTACAGTTCAAAGGGGTGTCCAACGAACTTTTTCTTTCGCAAAAGGACCGCCCCAACACCATCCGTGTGATTGTTGCGCACGCCTACACATGTGGCCAGGGACTTCGAGGAAATTGCAGGCGACAGCTCCATCTCGAGAAAGCCCTGCTGGCACAACAAAAAAACCTGCATCCCACGCGACAGCTCCTCCATCTTGCTAGGGCGGTGCGCTGCGGAAAGCGGAGGCGCGCGGCGCTGCGCCGACAGCTCCTCTCGAGAAAGACCCGTGCTGACATGTCCGACACAGGGCGCAGCGGGAGCACGATCCGGACGGAGCGGCAGTCCGAGAGTGAGGCCAGCGCTTTCAGCGAGAGGCAGCACTTTGAGGAAACAAACCCAGCGGAAACCCGCTTCCCGGGAGTCCTGCGTGTAAAAAACACTGCGCGGACAGGGGGGCCGAAGATTTCCCGGACGTCACCAGGGGAGAGAGGAGAGTAGTATTCAGATTGTGTGATTGTGCAGGGAGAGCTGGCCCGGCCGCGCCCGCGCGAAGCGCTGCGCATCATGCGTATGAGCGTCCACACGCTCTCCGGCGCAGGGACGCCACCGAAGTGCACCGTCCAGTTCTTCGTGCGGCTCGCCTCTTCGGCGTAGGTCCTCACGATGTCCCGCACCACGGGGTCCAGGGCGCGCCGGTCGCAGAAGTACTCCTCGCCCACCTTCTCGCCCATCTCGCGCACGTAGTCCATCGCGTCCGCCTCGTCGCCGGAGCCAGGCACGTCCGAGCGTGATTTCACCTTCTCCCGCAGCTCTGCAACCACGCGCACTGTCGGCCACTGGTGCCACTCGGGCAACAGCGTACACGTGGTCGTGGGGGGCGCCAGGGGTGTCTGCGGCGGCCGCGGGGGGAGCCGCGAAGGAGAGATGACGCCGGGGCATGCCGGGCCGCTGCAGTTCGCCGAGCTCGCCGCGTGCTCCAGGAGCCACTGCGGGCGCGCGGGCCCTCGCGCCGCAGCGGCAGCGGCAGCGCCGCCCAGGGGCTGAGTCCACAGCGCCGACAGAAGGCGCCGGTGCTGAGTGCTGCCCAGCAGCAGGAGCGTCGTGGCCATGGCACGCCGCAGGGGTGAGGTCAGCACGACCTGCGCCGCCAGCGCGCGCTGCAAGTGCGCGGCGTCCAGCAGCAAGGAGCGCTCCTTCACCTGCTTCTCGCCATCGGACGTCAATACGCCGTCGCGGTAGGCGGTGACCGATCCCCTGGCGATGGCGCCCCATAGGCCGGCGTTGCCCACCGATTCGCCATGCCGGAAGAAAGTCACCTCCATGCCTCTTTCATCCTGGGGGCGTTGGGGTAAGCCTCTGGCGGCCACGCTTAGCTGCCCTCTGCCCCATGCCTCGTCCCGCTCCCTCGTCCACCATGCTCGTCCTCCGTCCTCGTCGTTCTCTTCCTAATCTCACCCCAGCCCTCTGGGCGCAGGTGGTCTAGAGCGTTTCCTTTCCCAGCCTCCTTCCTTTCCCTGCTCGGGAGGTTTACCTCCCCCCCCCTCCATGGACGGGCTCCCCCGCGCGGGGTTAGAGCGTCCAAGATGGCCCAAGATAGCTTCAAGAGGGCTTTAGCTAGCCAAATATGGCCTCCAAGATCGCCCAAGAGGCTCAAGATAGCTTCCAACACGCATCCAAGAGGCCTCAAGACGGCCCCCAGACGGTTCCAAGTGCCCTCCGAGCCCTCCAAGGACCCCCCCAAGAGGCCAAAATCGGTTCCAAACCTAGGGAGCACCAGTGTTTTTTGCCTTTTCGCTTTTTCCCTACCTAGGCTCTGCCTAGAAGGGTTCTTACTCTGAGGCTTACTAAGGGGCAGGGCAGTGGAACCCGCCCCGGGCGGTTCCCCCAGTATCCGCCCCGCGGTTCCCCCAGTTACGTCCCCTTAGCTTCGCGTTGCTTATCTCATCTTAGCTTAGCCTAGCTTAACTTAGCTTAGTTTCGCTTAGCTTCGCTTAGCTTAGCCTAGCCTAGCTTAGCTTAGCTGAGCTTAGTTTCGCCTAGCCTAGCTTAGCTTAGCTCAGCTTAGCTTGGCTTAGTTTAGCTTAGCTTAGCCTAGCCTAGCTTAGCTTAGCATAGCTTAGCTTGGCATAGCTTAGATTAGCGCGGCATAGCGCAGCGCAGCATTAGCACAGCATGGCATAGCAAAGTATAACCAAGCATAGCATAGCATAGCATAGCTCAGCATAGCATAATATAGCATAGCATAGCGCAGCATAACACATCCTATCATCGCATTTCATTGCTTAGCACAGCACAGCGCAGCATAGCATAGCGTAGCGCAGCATAGCATATCATATCATAGCACAGCATATCATAGCATAGCGCAGCATAGCATAGCATAGACTAGCATAGCATAGCATAGCCTAGCATAGCATATCACATCATAGCCTAGCATAGCGCAGCATAGCATGGCATATCATAGCATAGCGCAGCATAACATAGCATAGCATAGCGCAGCATAGCATAGCATAGCCTAGCATCACACAGCGCAGCCGAGCGTACCCTAGCATAGCATAGCATAGCGCAGCATAGCAACGCATATCATAGCATAGCATAGCGCAGCATAGCATAGCATAGCATAGCATAACAGCAAAGCAAAGGCAAATCAACAGCAGCAACAGGAAAGCAAAGCACAAGCAACGCAAAGCCGGACCTGCAGTGCTGAACAGCCTGCAGCTCTTGCAAGAGCCGCGAGCAGTGCTGAACAGCCTGCAGCTCTTGCAAGCAGTGCTGAACAACCTGCAGCTCTTGCAGGAGCCGCGAGCAGTGCTGAACAGCCTGCAGCTCTTGCAGGAGCCGCGAGCAGTGTTGAACCTAGTGCAAGCAGTGCTGAACAGCCTGCAGCACCTGCAGGAGCCGCGAGCAGTGCTGAACAGCCTGCTGTCGCTGGGTGCACAGCAAAGCAAGACAACGCAAAGCGCAGCATAGCATAACATAGCATGGCTTAGCTTAGCATAGCACAGCGCAGCATAGCATAGCATAGCATAACTTAGCTTAGCTGTAGATGTAGATGTAGATGTAGCTGCAGGTGTATGTGTAGCTGTAGATGTAGGTGGCAAAAGCAAATGCAACGGCAAGGCAATGCAAAGCAAAAGCAAAACCAATGCGAACGTGTAGATGCATATGCATATGTAGGTGTAGGTGTAGATGTGGATGTAGGTGTAGATGTATATGTAGGTGTAGCTGTAGGTGTAGATGTAGATGTGAGTCTCGCTGTTGATGTTGATGTAGATGTAGATGCAGGTGGAGATGTTAATGTAGCTGTCGGTGTAGATGTAGATGTTGCTTTCCTAGATGCTCCAATTCCTAGGTAGGGTCGCACTGGGATAATTCGCTTCTGATGGGCTCTTGAGGCGTCAAGATGGCCGCAAGATGGAACAACATAGCCCCAAGAGAAGCCCAAGAGGGCCCCAAGACGGCCCCAAGAGCGCCCAAGAGCGCTCCAAGGGCGGTCCAAGGAAGACGCCTCTTTTGGGCCTCCGAGGGGGGGGGGCGTACATTGAAGACCCCCTCTTTTTGCTTTTTGAGCGAAGGGGTCCAAGACGACCCCAAGAGGACTCACAGACCCCCCAAACGAGCCCCAAGATGGCCCCAAGACTCTTCAAACAAGCCCCAAAAAGGTCCTAAGAAGCCCCCCGGAGGACCCCAAGATGACCTCAAGATGGCGCCCAAATGGCATTATGAGTCTTCGAAGAACCCCTCACCACGACATATGTCCAACGCCCGACTTCTCGTCCTCCTTGTCATGGTCCGTTCCTTCCTTGCTTCTTTCCTGCCGCCTCCCTGCTCCTCTTCATCCTCCTCGCGCGGCGTTCCTCCTGCTCCTCCTCCTCCTCCTCCTCCTCCTCCTCCTCCTCCTCCTCCTCCTCCTTCGCTTCCTCCTTTTCTGTTTTGCCTCTTCCTCCTCCTCCTCCTCTTCCTCCTCCTCCTCCTCCTCCTCCTCCTCCTCCTCCTCCTCCTCCTCCTCCTCTGACCCCCAAGATGGCCCCAGGCGTCACCAGCACCAGCAGCACCACTTGCTCCAAGATGGCTCCAAGAGGGCAACAGAGCACCACAAGCAGCAACACCAGCAGCATCACCACCACCGCCACCACCACCATCACCAGCAGCCGCACGCGAGTCTAAGATAAACTTCAGCGCGGTGGTTGAGATTAAGGATGCATATGGGGATGCGACTTTTAATTGTGCGACAAGGGCGACGAATGATACTTACAGTCACTTGCGCCAGAGACGTTTATCACAGGGAACACCCCGGCGTATCTTGCACCGGTTTCCATCTTAAGCGAAGCTTTGTGTGATCCTTGTTTGTCATGGCCTAGGGTGGATACAGCCACCTGCGCTAGAAACGCTTACCGCGGGGAGCACCACGTCATATCTTGCACAGATTTCCATCCTAAAATTCCATGCGGGAAGCTATGTGTGATCATTGTTTTTTTCTCTGAAGACGGCCGCGCAACTGCATGCTTCCAGCCGTCCCTGATTTACCAACTCCCCTGCTGATCGTTTCTGGATGCGCCGGTGGGGACTTGTTTGATCGCGAGCGCACCAGAGGAGCCGGACGCCGTCAAGGTCGAAGCAGCGGGCCACGAGCGAATTGCGCACCAGGACGGGGGAAACTGGCGACAAGAGGAAAGTGGAGGAGGAACTAACAGGAGGCGGGCCTCGCTGCCGCTCAGGAGAGGGCGCCGTCGACTGGGGCACTGCCAGGCGGGGTGCATCGCCAAAATGGCGGGGAATTTTGGTTGAACGACACCACGAGCGAACAGAAGACGCAGACCACCGTCTCCTAGACGCACCGCAAGGAACAGGTACGCGCAGCCAGGCGTCGACCAACCCGCGTGCGGGCGCTCAACAGACCAGAGCCTGGATCGCCAGACACCGCCAGGGACTGGTGTCGAGACCGCGTGCAACAACGCGGGGGGTGCGGGCTGGCGCTCGCGCACTGGGGTAGAAGCGATCCATGCGACCGAGGGCACTGGAGCGCGCCATGGAGGCGTCCAGCCCAGGAGGCCTCTGGAAGGCCTCAAGAAAGCCTGAACAACTGCCGTGAGGCCCCCAGAGGCTCTCCAAGGAGGAGCCTCCGCAAAAAGAGCTGGGGAGGATGGGGAAGAATTCGCAGGGTAGGGCGAGAATGAGGAACAAGAAGCATGGAGGAAGGATCAACGAAAACCATTACTATAACGGCGATGCCAGAAAATACAACAAGGATTTATCACTAAATTTAATGCTTGACCTTCCTGCCATTCCGCCTGCAGATTGAACTTCAAGGACCAAGGTGCATGGCGCGAAGCGCCAATGCAGTCTTATATATACAGAAAGAGAAAGAGAAAGAAGGAGGGGGAGGGAGAGAGATAACAACAAGAGAGAGAGAGAGAAGTTTTGAGGGACTCGAAAAAGAGAGATGGAGAAAAAGAGGGAGAGAGAGAGAGAGAGCCATATTTTGAGGGCCCCGATTCTCGACCCGGCATGTCCGACCAAATCCAGCCGCAGCAGCGATTGGCGCTCCCGAGAGCCCGATCAAGACAGACAGAGAGAATGCGGTAGCGAGAGAGAGAGAGAGGGAGGCACGGGGAGAGGTGGGAAAAGCGAGATAGAGAGAGAGAGAGAGAGAAATATACATATATATATATATATGTACAAAGAGAGAGAGAGAGAGAGAGAGAGAGAGAGAGAGAGAGAGAGGATAGGGCGGGAGAGGGTGACACCAATGAAACGAAAGAGAGCGAGAGAGGGACAGAGAGACAGAGAGGCAGAGAGAAACAAGAGAAAGAGAGAGAGAGAGAGCGAGAGGGAACTATATGATGGCACGAGATGAGAAAGAGGGACAGAGAGAGAGAGAGAGAGAGAAAAAAAAAAAAACAATAGATAGAGGTGTGTGAGAGCGATGTCAGCAAAACCTGCAAGTTTAGTTGCAATGAAGAACTCCTGGGCGACGAGCGACTTTACAATGAAGGGTTCCTGGTTATCTGGGGCCTGCGCAAAACAAGGCGAACGTGTTTTATATTTGGGCCGTTGGGTTGACGTCGATGGGGCTCAGGGTGCTGCTCAGCTCCTCTCATGGCGCAATACGAGAAACCAATATTGACACAAAGCTCGCACCCGAGCGACCCCCCCATCGGCGCCCGTCGGGAGCACCTCCTCCTCCTCCCGCCTCTTCCTCCTCCTCGCGCTTCATCCCTTCGCCTCATTGTCCTCCTTCCCCTCCATTGGGGAAGCAAGTGCCGACACCGCTACTCCCCGGACCTCCCCCGGGGTGCGTTCTGACCAGAATTGCGAAGCGAATCCAGCGGCGGCGACGAGGGCTACCCAGAAAGCCTTAAAAAGGGGACAACGAGGGAAGGGTAGCGATATCGGTGCCTTTTCCTCCTCTGACTCCCTGCCTCCTCCCCCCCCCTCCAGCTCGGTCCTCGAAGCCGCCCGCGCCCTCCTCCTCCTCGCAATTCACCCCTCCTCCTCGCGCTTCATCCCTCCTCCTCCTCCTCCTCCTCATCCTGCTCCTCCTCCTCCTCCCTTCTCTGCCTCCTCCTTCCCTTCTCTGCCTCCTCCGGCCCAGTCCTCGAAGCCGCCCGTGCCCTCCGGGGCGACCGTGCGGCGCGCGGCGGCGGCGACCAGCAGCGCCGCGAGGGCCAGGGTCCTGGGAGCAGCGCGGGCGGGCGGCGCGGCCCGAAGGGCCCCCTGAAGGGCACCCCCTGAAGGGCCCTGCAGGGCTCCCTCCCTCCCTTCCCTCCCTCCATCCCATCCTCTCCTCCTCCTCTCCTCCTCCTCTCCCTCCTCCTCCTCTCCTCCTCCTCCTCCTCCTCCTCCTCCTCCTCCGCCTCCTCCTCCTCCTCCTCCTCCTCCTCCTCCTCCTCTGCGTGGCGGCGGGGCCCTCCCGTCCGGAGGAGGCCCCCCCCCCCTCCAAGGGCCCTGCGGGGCTCCTTGGAGGGCTCCCTGGAGGGCTCCCTGGAGGGCTCCCTGGAGGGCCCAGAAGGGGCCGACTGACTTTTCTCGACGATCCCGCGCTTCTTCTGCGAGGTGGTAACTTGCGGCGTGTTCTACCGCATCATGTTGGCGACGCTAACGTTGAAACCAATGATGACGATGACGATGACGATGACGATGACACGATGACGATGACACGATGACGATGACACGATGACGATGACGATGACGATGACGATGATGATGATGATGATGCTGCTGCTGATGATGATGCTGATGCTGATGCTGATGCTGATGCTGATGCTGATGATGTTGATGATGCTGCTGCTGCTGCTGCTGATGATGATGATGATGATGATGATGATGATGATGATGATGATGATGATGATGATGATGATGATGATGATGATGATGGTGCTGGTGCTGATGCAGATGCCGATCGAAAGCGAGAAACTCTCTCTCTCTCTCTCTCCCAGTATTGTTCGCATCTCTCTGTGCCAATATTTCGCCTATCGCTCATTATGTATTTCGTTTCTTATACTTCAGCGCCTGTTCTAGATACTGCGTGTTCCTCATCTTCCCTTCTATCTCTCCGCCAATTGGGAGAGGGTATGCGGTTGTTCTCTCTCTCTCTCTCTCACACTCTCTCGCACTTTGCATATACAAGAGGGATGGGGGGAAATGGTGAGGGCAACGGTTGCTCTCTCTCTCTCTCACGCTCTCCTTCTCTCTCTCTCTCAATTCCTCCCTGCCGCGCTCTCCACGTAACGCAGAGTGGGCAATGAGAGCGAGCAGTAGTTACCCTCGCAATTACCCCTTAACACCTTTCACGGACAACGTCAAGGAGGACATCGAAGGGGGGAGTGATTCCTTTCTTTCTTTCTTTGTCTCTCTCTCTCTCTCTCTCCGTCTTTCCCTCTCTCCCGCTCCCTTTCCCCTCGCGCGCAGCGCAAAGAGCGAGCTGGGAGGAGAAAGTGGCTGCTCCCTTATGGGGGGGGAAAGGTCCCTTGCCCCCCCCCACACACACACAACACCAGGAGGGCGCGGGTGCCAATGGCGCCTGCCCTCCCGCGGTCTGCACGCCGAGCATGGATTGGGGGAACCGGGCGGGGACTGCGGTTGCTCTGTACACGTCTCGACACACAAACGCACGCACACTCGACGCAGAGTGGGCAATGGGAGGGGGCAGCGGTTGCCCTCGCACCCTCCGCGCACGCCCGCAGAAGGGGCTGGGGGTGGAAAAGGGGAGTGTCTGCTCTCTCTCTCTCTCTCTCGTTTTTCTACATCCCTACATCGGCTATAGGTATATGAAAGAAGTGTATACGTGGATCAGGAGGGGGCTTAATTATGTGTCAGCATGAATATATGTATACATCTGCGTCTGTATACATGTATAACTACATGCACAACCATAGATGGGTTTTGCCAGTATACATGTCGGGCAATCGTCGGTACACACATACATATGGTACTCGATCCACATTCATATGTGTATATATATACGCGCATCGGTGGCAACACGTATATCAGCCTATATAACCAACTATCAATATTTATATCCATGCGTCTGTATGTTGGTATCTACCGATGCCTCTACAGCTCGATGCACTCATTCGTGTATATATATACATAAATCCTTATATCGATATATATATATATGCATACATCAGTCTCTATATGTACATGCAGCTGTCTACATATGTTTGAACGCATACGCAGTTGAGCAGTTATATAAATCGAAATATGTATATGTAATTACTGCGTATCGATTCGTGTGTATACGGATCTGTAAGTCAACATATGTATACAAATATACACACATACACTATTATATAGTTCATCCATAAATATGTGTATGTAAATGCATACCCCGATACACCGTACCACATATCTAGATGTCCATACCTCAATATACAACCATGTCTACAATCATGCAATCATATATGTTTGCATACCCAATCAGTCGTGTATGTATCTGTCTTTCAAATCACAGATGTGTCTACACATAACCAAATATGTGCATACATGTCCATACCGCAGCATACAGCCATGTCTATACCGATCCACGCGTATATGTACCCAGTCAGTCGTGTATGTAGGCGTCTTTCCATTCAGCGATGTATGTATATATTGGCCCATGTGTATGTGTGAATATATATATACACATATACATACATATGTATGTCCGTATACCCAGACATCGGTCAATCGATGCCCACTCTTTTATGTACAGGTTCAGAAACCCGTCGGTCTTAACCCGCCACGCGGTGATAATCAGTTTGCGAACCATCCGCAACAGAAGGTGAAGGCAAATCGCACAGCAGTATCTTGTTTGCAATGCGCACAGAAGATGTTTACGTACATTCTCACTGAAAGGGGCCATGTCGTAACTCGACACAAGTGGATTGTATGTGCAACCATTACAAAAAGGAATGCATTCTTACACCACCCACAGAGATTGAGCGGATTGCACAGCCAGACATGAATATTCGATGTGCAATACACACAATGAAAATAAATGTGCTAATTGCTTACAAACGGAATCCTATTGAAGAGCCGTACATCAAGATTCGATGTGGATGAAGTCCACACTATAAATAACCATTGTGTAGACCGTGTGCAAAAAAAGGATCCAGTTGCAACTCCCCGCGGAAGCATTGAATTTGCGATCCACACAAAAATGGAATGTCCCACCGTTTTCTTTTGTTGTTCGTGCACCCGCCCCACGCCAGCAACAAAACAATGTTGGGGATGTCATGCCATGTGTGTTTTGCTTTCGCCCTATAGGAAGTAAACGAAAGAGGAGGAAGAAGACGGAGAAGAAGAAGGAAAACGAAGACGGAGAAGGAGGAGAAGGAGGAGGACCACTGTTGGGACGAGAGGACGAAGACGGTGAAGGAGGAGAAGGAGGAGGAGGACCACTGTTGGGACAATTGTGTACGTCTTACCGAGCATGCGTCATTCTGCAACGACGAGAGCGTGACACTGGCTTAAGGGGGCCAGTCGCCTAATGACTCGCTGCCACGCCGAAGGTTTCCTGCAGCCATGGTTCACCCGACACTGCGGGGGCTGCGCTGGCATGGTTCACCCTGTTGCGGTTTTCAGCCGTATGCTCACAGAGCAGCATGGCCAACTTAGGGTACCAGCCGACGGGCACGTGCACACGGGGTCCGCGCTGGCACTAGGCGAGATAACTGATCTCGAACGCGAGGATCCCCACCAGGGGATGGGCCGAAGCCCCACGGGGCTCACGTGCCACACGACGCTACCCCTCCCCGAAACGCCCGATCGCTGCTGCAGCTGACGCCGCGGCAGTGGACCAAGGTTCATACCGCACTGACCAGGACGCAGGGGAGTCAAATTTCCCTGTTCAAGACAAGACGGCCGCCGTCCCGTTCCCGCATCACGGAGGAGGGGGATAATGATGATAATGAGGAGGAGCAGGAGCAGGAGGAGGAGGAGCATGAGGAGCAGGAGGAGCAGGAGGGAGCAGGAGGAGGAGGAGGGGGAGGAGGAAGGAGGAGGAGGATGAGGAGGAGGAGAAGGAGGAGGGGGGAGCATGAAAGTGTGCCTCAGAGCAACTATGGCACTGACACCATGAGAACGGGTGCCAAGGCCCCCGCTCGAGGCTCGGAGGAGGACGGAGGGTGACGGAGAGCAGGGCGGTGGAAAAAGGATAGAGAACGAGACGTAGGAGGAGGAGGAGGAGGAGGAGGAGGAGGAGGAGGAGGAGGAGGAGGAGGAGGAGGAGGAGGAGGAGGGGGAGGAGGAGGAGGAGGAGGAGGAGGAGAGGAGGAGGAGGAGGAGGAGGAGGAGGAGGAGAGGAGGATGGGGAGGAGAGGAGGAGGAGGAGGAGGAGGAGGAGGAGGAGGAGGAGAAGGAGGAGCAGAAGCAGGAGGAGGAAGAGAAGGAGGAGCAGAAGCAGGAGGATGAGAAGGAGGAGGAGGAAGGAGGAGTGGGAGGAGGGGGGAGCACGGGTGCGCCGCTGCCACTTGCTCACAGTGCTGCCGCGTCGAGGCCCGAGGGCTCAAGGGGCTCGAGCATCTGTTGGGGCGCTTTGTGGGCCTGCGTCGGCTTGGGGTGTGGCGCTTCTCGCCGCTGCTGCCGGGTCCCCTTCGGCACTCTGGGACGGGCCCTGGGGGCGGTGTTTGACCTCCTGCTCCCGACACTCGCGGCACCGATCATGGCATGGCTGCTGCTCGTCCCTATCCTCCCCCTGCTCCTGGGCACTGCTCATGGCTGCTGCACATCCCTATCCTCCCCCTCCTCCTGCTCCTCCTCCTACTCTTCCTGCTCCTGCTGTTCACGTATACGTTCATCGTAAGCGTGCGGGCCATTGCAGTCTCTTCAGCTCGGTGAGAATATTCGTGAGCTGCGCCGCCAGCACTTGGGAACCTCAAGGAACCGCCAGCACAAAGCGCAACCAGCTAACGGCTATACCGATAGGATCGAGCATTGATTGAAGCCGCGTCAGAAGGGCGGGCAGTTGGCGCTTTGGCTCTGCACGTCTTCCTGTCCCTTTGGAGAATCTGGCGAGCCCAGGGATGCCTGAGAGGCGTGGGAGCTCTGTGGAGGCCCCGCCCCCACGCTCGCAAGCTCTTGCCCTCCCGCCCCCCTTCTCCGCCCCCACTGTCTCGTCTGCCCTCCTCCGGAGGCGTGTGCGGCAACAGGACGCGCTTTCGTGGAGGCTCCTCCTCCTCCTCTTCCTCCTCCTCCTCCTCCTCCTCCTCCTCCTCCTCCTCCTCCTCCTCCTCCTCCTCCTCCCCCTCCTCCTGCTGCATCTCCCCCTCCTCCTCCTTCATCTCGCCCGAGACGATGACCAGCGCTCCGGCCCCGCAGCAACAGGGCCCTGGCAAGGGAGCCCGAGCCCGCCTCCCTCCTCCCTCCTCCTCCTCCTCCTCCTCCTCCTCCTCCTCCTCCTCCTCCTCCTCCTCCTCCTCCTCCTCCTCCTCTCCTCCTCCTCCTCCTCCTCCTCCTCCTCCTCCTCCTCCTCCTCCTCTCTCCTCCTCCTCCTCCTCCTCTCTCCTCCTCCTCCTCTCCTCCTCCTCTCCTCCTCCTCCTCCTCCTCCTCCTCCTCCTCCTCCTCCCCTCCTCCTCCTCCTCGCTCTGCTCTGCCCTCCCGAAGGGCAACGTCGGGGGGGCACCCGCTCAGGGGGGAACCTCGTCCTGGATCGGCGACTCCTGCACGTCGGCAGCGTGACAGCAGCTGATGCACAAATCTCAACAAAAAAACAGAAAATACAAAAAACATCTGGCGGGGGATCTACAACATCGTTGCCAAAATCGGCTTGGGGGACGGGGCCTCATGACTCCTCCCCTACGAATCAGAGCGACCGGCCCCCGCTGGCGAATCCGCACGCCCCTGGTGCGGGGTGGGCCATCGGGCCCCTATCGTTACGTCGGGCCTGTCCCACTACAGGAGGAATACCCCAAAATAGTAGAAAAATATTGCGGGGACGATTTTTTGACTATGCTGGATCATGTTAAAATATGTTTGACTATCTTATAATGTTTCGTCCGAGATTCACCTGTAGGGGAACATGCCCGACCCTATCGACGATGCGTTGGCGAGTGGGGGTCGATGCATACCCCCCTGAGCATATCCTCCCCTGGCGTTGCCCCTGGCCTCCTGCTCCCTCCTCCTGCAACGACGCCGCCGAGCCGGTCCTCAGCGGCCGAGCGCCACACGGAGGAGGGCACCGACACATCCAAAGACGCGCGGGAGCGGCAGGAATTCGCAGACCACGAGGCTGCAACCGCATCTGCGGCGCTTGAACCAGACTGGGCGGCTAACGGGGCCCTCTCCCACGGGTTGCATATCTCCCCATGGAGGGGAAGAGCAGCAGAGAGGTCGCTGAACTTGCATTTTCGCATTTCGCATTCGCATTCGCACTCTCATCAGGACATGGTCCTCAGTCCTCGCCTCCTTGGGCCGGAGCGTGGAGGTCGTAACCTCTCTATGCGTATACGCTCTGGGGAAAGCAAAAGCCAGACAGCACTAGCGTGCTTCCCTGCTGGAGTTGGTTCTGGCGCCGGCGTCGGTTGGTGTCGTGTTGGCAGGTGGCTTGATTGTCTTGTTCGTGTGCTGGGCTCCCGTCGATGAGATGAAGTCGGACTCCATGCTCATCCAGGTGGTTGTGTCGGAGGCTCCAGTCGGAGGCGACGTGGATCCACGAAATATCATTCATGGCGTCACTCGAACCGTCGTTCGCGCGCGTGGTCGTAATCCTCTGTCGGATGTAGTCGTGTTGTCGACCTTGTTGGCGCTGTCCCCGTTGTGCCGCAACGAGACCAGGATGCCAGTGAGCAACTTGTTGAGTCCATCGGGTGGCGCTGTGACGGGCTATTGTGTGGGCTTGTCTCCACAGAAGTCGTCGCTTTTTCGCGACCCATGGCTCCATGTCGTGTAGGTGCATCAAATAATTTGCTCTGTGTGTTGCGCGGCGGATGAAATCGAGCCACGGCTCAGTAAGGTCGTCGGCGATCAGGTTGGTCAGATCGACGGCCTCGGGGAATTCGGGTTCGTCGGGGTTGCTGCCGACGTCATCGACAGAGGACGTGGTGGTAGATGAACTGGTGGTCGTTGAAATAGAAGCCGTAGATGTGGCGGAAGTGCTGTCCGAGAAATGGTTTGGAGAAGTGGTTGTAACCTGCGCAGTGTGCTCGTCGTGGTGGTTCTTCCAGCGTCGTGGCGTGTTGATGATCCTTAATTATGATCATTATTCGTTGTGTGGTGCTGAGCTGTCAGTTCTTGAAACAGGCGGTTTCCTGCCCCACGCACTTTACGAATATAGTCTGGACGCCCCCCCAAGCGGTTGTTTCGATAAATGAACAACTGCTGGGATCTTGCATATAACATTGATCACCTTGGCGTATTGCCAAACTCACGCGTTGACGAACTCCGTGATTTTACGCCTTCAGCGGGCGAGACTGTCCAGCTCAACTCTCCCACCTTGCCAAGCCCATGGTGCGCGGCTCGCTGGGAAGAAATAAACGACACCTACTCACATTGGTAATTCAACGCGCTCCATGGGCAGTGCTTTTGACATGACATCGTCGACGCTCGCGTTGCCCTGCTGCCCACATAGTGTCAGACGTGCGTTTTTGAGAACCACAGCCTTGCCTTCAGCCTAACAGAGTGGGCCTCGGGACGCATGCGAACCCTGCCACAGAGGCCTTCGGTGAAACTCCCTGAATCTCCCTATGGGGCCACGCACCGTGTGAGGGGCGTGCAACAACTGGACTTGGGGCGCATGCGAGCCCTGCCTTTGAGGCAATCGGTGGAGCTCCCTATGAAGCCACGAACCGTGTGATGTGTGTGTGTGTGTGTGCCCAAATGTGCCAGGGGACACCTGTGAACCGTGACGCTGGGGCCCTCGGTGGCGCCCCCCCATAAGGCCACGCGCCCCAAGGGGCCCGCGAGCAAGCCGCGGTCCGCACCGCGCGCCCCGCAAAGAGCGCCGAGGCGACGACGGAGAAGAAGATGGCGACGACGGATCCCGCGAAGGCTTCGCGCACCCCCCGGGAGAACAGGACACGGCGACGCCGGGCCTCGGGGCGCTGCCCGCTGGAGTCTCCGGGGGAGGGGGGGCGGTGGTGCTGCCAAGTGGGCGAGGGGCGCGATCCGCACCGAGGAAAGGGTGCGAGGGGGGAGAAAGGAGGGGGAGGAGGAGGGAGGAGGAGGAGGAGGAGGAGGAGGAGGAGGAGGAGGAGGAGGAGGAGGAGGGGAGGAGGGAGGAGGAGGAGGAGGAGGAGGAGGAGGAGGAGGAGGAGGAGGAGAAGGAGGAGGAGGAGGAGGAGAAGGAGGAGGAGGGAGGAGGAGGAGCGGGGGGGGGAGGAGGGAAACGGGGAGAGGGCGCGGAGGTGGGGGGCGCCGAGACCGAGGATACGTGGGAATGGTTTGCGGGGGGAGCCGCGAGGGGGGGAGGGGGCGAAGCTGGCCAAAGGGGGCAGAGCAGGGTGGAGGCAGGGGCCGCCGCGCGCGGCCGCCTCGGCGACCTGCGTCAAGGCCTGCGCCCACAAGTGCCGCCGCCCACCCAGCTTGTCCCGCATGTCGCCCTCCTCCCTGCGCCCCGTTCCTCCTCCTCCTCCTCCTCCTCCTCGTCCTCCTCGTCCTCCTCCTCCTCGTCTCTCGTCCTCCTCGTCCTCCTCGTCCTTGTCCTCCTCGTCCTCCCCTCCTCCTCCCTCCCCTCCTCCTCTCCTCCTCCTCCTCCCCCCTCCTCCTCTCACTCCTCCTCTCCTCCTCCTCTTCCTCCTCCTCGTCCTCCTCGTCCTCGTTCCTCCTCGTTTTCCTCGTTTTTCCTCGTTTTCCTCGTCCTCGTCCTCCTCGTCCTCCTCTCGTCCTCCTCATCCTCCCTCTCTCCGCCTCCTCCTCCTCTTCCTCCTCCTCTCCTCCTCCTCCTCCTCCTCCTCCTCCTCCTCCTCCTCCTCCCTCCTCCTCCTCCTCCTCCTCCTCCTCCTCCTCCTCCTCCTCCTCCTCCTCCTCCTCCATCCCTTTTCCGAATAACTTACTCCTCCCTGTCGCACCCCCCGACGTGGCGGTAGAGCGGACTGGGCGTCTCGCCCGAGACGTCCACAACATGTGTGATCCTGAAGCTTAACATGCGGGGGGGGCCTCTGATAAGGAATTATTATTTTGCTATTAGGCAGCATAGAGGACCACCATACTACACTCGAGAGCTGACAGGTCACTAGTGCCTCGCTGTCACGCCGCAGAGCGTGACCCCACACTGGGTAGTATGCAGTCCCCCCGATGAGAACTGAGAACGGGGCTCCGAAACTCGAAAGCAAGTCACCCCCTCGTTCTGGCGACTCCTGGCCAGGCGCAGGTCACCAAAGGGAAACCTTCGATAAGGAATCCAGGGTCTGGAGGCTGGTGGAACTCCAATCGAGGCTTGGCCATGGACATCACCGCCGCCCTCATCGAATAAGGAACCCTCCAAGGTCTGGAGCCCCCCGTGCACGTTCCTTCACCAACGCCCCCACCGCATGCAGCAGCTAAAAAGGATGGAAGGTTGGTCGTTTTCAAACTGTGGCTCTCGCCATAGCGCCGCGCACATTCGTTTTAAAACGCCTGCAGCGGCTTCAAGGATGGAGGGCTGCTCCTTTCCAACCTGTGGCGTTCGCGTTCGTTGAAATACCTGGATGTGTGTTCTGGTACGGCTGTCAGCACGCAACAGTCAGGTTGATTCGCAGTGTTGCAGTCCTAGGGAGTGTGTTCTAATTGCAGGTTCGAGGATGACCCGCCCGATTTAAAAACATGAAATGCGGACCCCATAGGGAAAGGGCTGCCGCCTGAGACTTCCTCGCAATTCACTCAAAGACGAGCCTGCCGCCTGATACTTCCCCCATATTCAAGCCTCGGGAGCCCAAGGGTGAGGACAATTACAGGTTCGACGATGACCCACTCGGATTAACTGCGGAACCCGTAGGGAGAGGGCTCCCGCCTGAGACTTCCTCGCAATTCGCTCACAGACGAGCCTCCCGCCTTATACTTTCTCCATGTTCAGGCCTCAAGAGCCCAAGACTGACGACAGTTACAGGTTCGAGGATGACCCGCTCGGATAAAGAAACATGAACGGCGGGCCCCATAAGGCGAGGGCTCCCGCCTGAGACTTCCTCGCAATTCAATCACAGACGAGCCTCCCGCCTGATACTTCCTCCATGTTCAGGCCTCAGGAGCCCAAGCATGACGACAGTTACAGGTTCGAGGATGACCCGCTCGGATGAAAAACATGAAATGCGGACCCCATCGGGAGAGGGCTCCCGCCTGAGACTTCGTCGCAATTCACTCACAGACGAGCCTCCCGCCTGATACTTCCTCCATGTTCAGGCCTCAGGAGCCCAAGCATGACGACAGTTACAGGTTCGGGGATGACCCGCCCAGATGAAAAACATGAAATGCGGACCCCATAGGGGGAGGGCTCCCGCCTGAGACCTCCTCGCAATTCACTCGCAGACGAGCCTCCCGCCTGATACTTTCTCCATATTCAGGCCTCAAGAGCCCCAAGTAAAGACAGTTATAGGTTCGAGGATGACCCGCTCGGAATAAAACAAAAAAACTGCGGGCCCCCTAAGGATAGGGCTCCCGCCTGAGACTTCCTCGCAATTCACTCACAGACGAGCCTCCCGCCTGATACTTCCCCCATATTCAGGCCTCAGGAGCCCAAACATGACGACAGTTACAGGTTCGAGGATGACCCGCTCGGATTAAAAACATTAAGTTCGGGCCCCAGAGGGAAAGGGTTCCCGCCTGAGACTTCCTCGCAATTCACTCACAGACGAGCCTCCCGCCTGACACTTTCTCCATGTTCAGGCCTCAGGAGCCCAAGACTGACGACAGTTACATGTTCGAGGATGACCCGCTAGGATGAGAAACATAAAGTGCGGGCGGGCCCCATAGGGAAGAGGGTTCCCGCCTGAGACTTCCTCGCAATTCACTCACAGACGAGCCTCCCGCCTGATGCTTCCCCTATTCAGGCCTCGGGAACATGATGCTGAGTGACGAGAGAGAGTGTGTGTGTGTGTGTCTTTGTGTGATGTGCGACTAACTATGATGATTATGGCGGTGGTGGTGATGCTGCTGCTGATGATGATAAGGACCCATGGCCGATAGTGATGGTGATCGATGGTGAGTGACTGAGTATGATGCTGATGGTGGTGGTAATGATGATGACCGGTGGTGATGATGACCGATGACGGGGTGAATGCGTTAGTGAGGCGGAGAATGGGAGGGAGGTTCCTGCGCGGAGAGTGTCGAGAGAAAACAAGAAGCCCACTTCGGATGTGGGGAACAACGAATGAAATCCTTTGGAGAAAAAAACACTACGCGGAGAGGACGGGCCACTCTCCGGACAGACTCAGGGGAGAGAGGAGAGTAGCATTCATAGTCTTATTGTGGAGGAGAGGGGGAAAGGGGAGGGGAAGGGGAGGGGGAGGGGGAAGGGGAGAGGGGAAGGGGAGATGGGGGAGGGGCAAGCTAGGTGCGCTCGCGTCTCATCTGACGTCCCACCCCTCCCTCCCATCCCTTACCATGGCGCAGATATCCTCTCCATTCGCACAGTCGGATGTCGTAGCAGGGCATAGCATTACATGGCATAGCATGGTGTTGAAGATCAACGACGCCCCACAGTGGGGGGTGAGCTTCTGCAGCCCCCAAAATCAACGAATCGACACCGATGTGTCATCACTTCCGATTGTTAATTTCGGACGCATTTTCTAGATTTTGCAGCCGATTTGGAAGGACCGAAAACCATGCCGTGGCATGGTGCTGGAAATAATGACGCCAGCGCTGCAGCGGGAGCACGATTCAGAACGAGCGGAAGCGCGGAAAGCAGGCCAGCGCTGCAGCGGGAGCACGATTCAGAACGAGCGGTAGCCCGAGAATGAAGCCAGCGCTTCAGCGAGAGCAGCATTTGAAAAAAAACCTAGCGAAAACCCCTTTCCCGGGAATCCTGTGTAACGAACCAGTACGCGGAGGGGGGCCGAATATTTCCCGGACGTCACCAGGGGAGAGAGAAGAGCAATATTCATATGGTGTGGCTGTAAATGGAGAGGGGGAAGGGGAGAGGAGGAAGGGCTGGGGAGGGAGGAGGGCAGAATGAGGAGGGAGAGGGGGGAGGAGGGCAGAATGGGGAAGGAGCGGCCGCTCAGCGGGACACTCCCCGTCCGACGCGCCCTGCGGCACACGAGCGGTGCTCAGCCGCGCGGCCAGGGCTGCGTCTCCGCGCCTTTCGGGCCGGTGGAGCCGCGGTGACCTCTGCGTGGTGCTTGCGGTTGTAGTCCCGCAGCCTCGCGGTCCTCTTGGCGGCGCGCAAAGGGGGGGGTAAGCGTGAGCCCGACAATGCGCATCCACGACCTGGGCACGGTGGCGGGATGAGCCGAGTGCCATTAGATCCGCCGCCCCCTGCTTGCAAGGGTGCACGGCGTGCTGGATATTTCAGGTTTTGGTTTTGGTTCTTTTTCTAAAAGAACTCCCCAGTGGGCTTCGGCCCGTCCCGCCGGCCACCCGTAAATTGCCGCAAATCCGTCTGTCAATGCCCCAAAACGGCCGTTTCGCTCGGGACATCCTCAAAAAATCGCGAAGATGGCCCAAGATGGCCTCCAAGTCCGCCCGAGATGGTCCAAGACGGCCTCCAAAACGGCCCAAGAGAGTCCAAGACGGCCCAAGACGGCCCAAGAGGCCCCCCAGAGGCCTCCCAGACGGCCCAAGAGGCCTCCAAGAGGTCCTCCAGGAGAGTCCGAAGAGGCCAAAATCATTGATTTTCCATTGGTTTTTGAAGGATTTTGGCATTTGCGCCTTTTCGGCTCTCCGACGGCTCAAGACGGCCCAAGAAGCCCCCAAGATCGCCCAAGAGGCCCCCAAGAGAGCCCCATGATGGCCCAAGTGGCCTCCAAGATGGCCCCTAGAGGGCCCCAAGAGGGCCCAAGAGGCCTCCAACACGCCCAAGATGGCCTCCAAGACGCCCAAGATGGCCTCCAAGACGGCCCTGGAGCATTCCAAGCGGGCCCCAAGTCGGCCCATAGAGGCCCCCCAAACGGCTTCCGACGGCTTCAGACGTGCCAGGAACCCACCAAGATGGCCGAAGTTGGCTCGAAGCTGGCCCGAGACGGCCCAAAAAGCCCCAAAGATCGCCCAAAGCTTGCCCAAGAGGCCTCCAAGACGGCCAAGATGACCTTCAAGATGCCCACGTGTTCCCCGAAGGCTTTCCAAACCGATTCGGGGAACACATGGTCCGATAGCTTGGCAGGTCTGGCCTCAACGTTCGGCCACATAGGCGCTTCCAAAAAGGCAGGGGGCGGCGGTGATTCGCCGTAGGCGTCTTCGATCCGCCGCCCCCTGTTGGCTTGCCACAGGGGTGTCCGTCGTGCTGGATCCTTTCGGTTTGCGTTTTGATTGTTTTCCCAAAAAACTCTCCCCTGGGGCTCCCGCCCAGTCCGCCGGCCACCCGGAAGGCCGCACAATCGAGCGCAAACGAGCGCAAACAAGCACAACGTCCGTGAACAACTCTCCAAGACGGCTCAAGATAGCCTCCAAGACGGCCAAGGTGGCCTCCAAGTTCGGCCAATATGGTCCAAGATGGCCTCCAAGACGGCTCAACAGAATCCAAGATGCCTCCGAGTTCGTCCAAGAAGCCTCCAAGACGGCGCAAGACTGGCCAAGAGGTGCCCAAGAGGCTTCCAAGACGGCCCAAGAGGCCTCCGAGAGGTAGTCCAGGAGGGCCCGGAGAGGCTAAACTCATTGAAGCAGGCGGCGCAGGTGCGGGCACCGCAGGGGTCATCACGGGCATCGGCAAGGAGCAGCTCGAGGAGCTCTGAAAGAGCGGTCCTCCCGTTCCTCGGCGGCCCGCGTGCAGCTCAAGGCATCGGCAAGGAGCCGATCGAGGAGCCCTCTGGCGAGGGCCTCCCCCCTTGTCTCGGAGGCCATCCATGCGGAGATCAGGCCGAAGTTCCGTACAAATTGGGGCGAGTGCCCGCAGGGCGAGGATGGCGCAGAACCGGCTGCCACCGCCCCCTTTGCCATCGCTGCAGCAGCAGCAGCAACAGCAGCAGCAGACGAGGCCGGCAAGGGAGCAGCAGGTGGCACCGCAGGAAGGCGTGCCGGCCAAGGCGATGGCACCTCCGAAGCTGTCGGAGCAGCAGGTGGCTCGGCGGGCCGGCACGTCGGCACAGAAGGGGCCATCGGCGGAGCAGCTCCGCCTGCACCGCAGGCCGGATGTCATCAGCAGGCGGCAGGAGGAGATAGCTCAAGCATTGGGGCTGGCTCCAGTGCGCTCGGCCTCACCGACCCCGCCGCCGCCTCCGAGTTTGCCTCCCTGGAGTCAGGCAGTGGCGGAAATGGCGCCGACGCCGTCGGCGGGGACCCTCCAGAAGAGGCGCTGGCGCCAAAGCAGGGCGTGGAAGAAGGAGCAGCAGGCGCTGGTGCAGACGGCGGCTCCGCCCCCATCCTGGAGTGCCTGAGCGTCGCAATGGACAAGCAGGAGGTCTCCACGGACGACGAAGCGGGCCCGCCTGCCGTGCTGGCTGCTGCCAAGGCGGCGCGCAACCACGAGAAGCGGTTGAGGAAGAAGGAGCGCAAGGAGATGGTGCTACAGCGGGATCTCTACAGGCCTGGTTGGCACCACGAGAAGGAGGCGGAGCTTGTGGCTCCTGATCCTGGAGCCCAGAGGCATGGCCTCCTTTGGGTTCAGGAGCAGATCGAGCTGCGCCTGCGGGATGACCTCGCGGGAGCGGTCGTCGACGACGAGCTGCAGGGGGCCTGAGCAGGGATGCTGGCTCCAGTTCCTGATTGAGGCCTCTGCTAAGGTCGATTTTCGGCGCGCTTCAGGAGAGCTGCCGCTGCCAGGCGGCAGTGTACTGAGGCTCGGCCCACGGGGGCCCTAGCGTTTCGGCGCTTTCAGGGTGCTGGCTTGCCGCTGCAGTTCTGTCTTCTCTGCCCACAGCGGCGGTGATGGGACGTTTGCAGGGCAGGCCCGCATGCACGCTCTCTGTTTTTTGTTTGTTCTCTCTCTCTCTCTCTATTATTGAATTGTTCTTGCCTTGAGCGCATTTCGGTAAAAAAGAAACCCAAAGATCGCCCCCAGAGCGCCCAAGAGGCTTCCAAAATGGCCTCAGGACTGCCCAAGAGGCCCCCAAGACGGCCACAAGAGGGTCCCAAGACAGCCCAAGAGGCCTCTAAGACTCCCCAGAAAGCCTCCAAGACGGCCCTGGAGCACTCCAAGAGTGCCCCAATGTCGCCCCAAAGAGGCCCCCAAGACGGCTTCCGACGGCATCAGACGGGCCAGGAGCCCGCCAAGACTGCCCAAGATGGCTCTGAGATGACCGAGAACGGCCCAAGGTGCCTCCAAGAGGGCCTCCAGGAAGGCCCGAAAAGGCCCAAATCGGTGATGTTCCGTCGGCGTTTGAAGGATTTTGGCAGTTGCTTCTGTTCGGTCTACCGACGGCCCGAGACGGCCCAAGAGCTCCCAGAGATCGCCCCAAGATCGCCCAAGAGGCCTCCAGGATGGCCCCGGAACGGCCCAAGAGGCCCCCAAGACGGCCCCAAGAGGGCCCCAAGACGGCCCAATATATGCCTCCACGACGCGCAAGATGGCATCCAAGACGGCCCTGGAGCACCCGAAGAGGGCCCCAAGTCGGCCCAGAGAGGCCCCCAAGACGTCTTCCGACGGCGTCAGACGGGCCAGGAGCCCACCAAGACGGCCAAAGAGGCCCCGAGAAGCCAAGCCGCCAAAGGCCCCCAAGAGGCCCAAGGAGGCCACCGAGATGCCTCCAAGAGGCTCTCAGAGGCTCCCAAGATGCCCACTCCTCCTCCTCCTCCTCCTCCTCCTCCTCCTGCTCCTCCTCCTCGTCCGCCTCCTCCTGATCTTTCCCGCTATCCTACCCCAAGTGCTCCCCAAAGGGTTTCCACAACGGTTGGGGGAACACTTGGTCCGATAGCTTGGCAGAGCTCTTGCCACAACGCTTGGCCACGTGGGCGACTCCGGAAGGCAGGGGGCGGCGGTGACTCGCCGCAGGCGTCTTCGATACATCGCCCCGCGCTTGCGGACAAGAGCGAGGGGGGGGCGGCGGTGACTCGCCGCAGGCGTCTTCGATGTATCGCCCCGCGCCTGCGGACAAGAGCGAGGAGGTGGCGGCGCGGGGGAACCGCCCCCCGGCCTCCAGGTGTAGCCGGCCCCCGCGTCTAGCCCGCAGGAGCAGCCCCCACGTGTGGGCCCCCCCCCAAGCGCAGCCCCCACGACTGGCCCTCGAGCCCCCAAGTGTGGCCTCCAAGTGTGGCCTCCAAGTGTGGCCTCCAGGTGTGGCCGGCCCCCGCGTCCAGCCCGCAGGAGCAGCCCCCCCTAAGCGCGGCCCCCTCCCCCAAGGCGCAGCCCCCACGACGGACCCCTCGAGGTGCTGCCCCCCAAAGCGCAGGCCCCCACGCGGAGAGCCCCCACGCGTGGACCCCCGAGCGTGGCCCCCGAGCTTCGCCCCCAAGTGCCCCCCCACGTCCTCCTCCTCCTCCTCCTCCTCCTCCTCCTCCTCCTCCTCCTCCTCCTCCTCCTCCTCCTCGTGCAGCCAGGATCCAGCCCACAGAAGCTGGGCCCTCCACCCAGCCACGCGCACGGGAGCAAGCAAGACCGCTCGGGCCCCCTCGCTCCGAATATGTGCAACATGCCTCCGTCGCCCGCTCCCTGCTCCAGGCCCCTTGGCTCGCTCTTCCCTCCTCCTTCCTCGATCCCTTCCCTCCTCCCCCCGCCCCCCCCGCCTCCTCCGCGCTTCCTCCGGTCCGTGGGCAAGCGCCAACGTTACCCATCGATCGGAAGAAGTAGGTAGACACATGAAGTAGGAAGGCGTTGAAAGTAAATTGGGTTCCGTCCGCCCCCTAGGGAGGACGGAAAAGGTGAAGCCACTCGAACATCGAAGTAGGAAGGCGCTGAAAGTACATTGGGATCTGGGAATCCCCAAATACCTACTTACTCTCAACGATCGATGTGTAGTGGACACTCCCTCGCCCCCCAAAACTCAAAGCTGGCATGCGCGGGGGGAAGTCTGCGGCCGAAGTGCGATTCATCCAACCCACCGAAAATATTGGTGATTACTCAGAGTTTCTGAATAAGCGTCGAGGGGGCGACAACCCCGCCGACAGCCCCACATCGACCCCCGTTGCGGGCAGCCACCGCGCGCCGAAGAAGGCGCTCCGACCCCCGTCGCGGCGCGACGACGAAGCGAGGTTGACCCCCGTCGAGGGGGTACGTGCGCGTTTCTTTATTTTCGGCGATCATGGGGGGTATAATCTAACGCCTCCCCCCCGCCGTGTGCCCGATGCGCACGGCGGCAGTGCCCAGAGCGCAGTGGGGGGGGAGGGGCGTTGCGTTGTAGGGGGCGGCAAGGGGGGTCGGGGGCTATGACGCCCATTGTGCCCCAGGCAGTAAAGAAACACGCTCTACCCCCCCCACGCTTATCAAGGAACCCAGAGCAGGGGGGGTGGCGTCGACAGCCGCATGTGGCACGAGTGCCCAGAGATCCGACGTCGTGATTTTTTCAATACGGGGCCCCCGGAGGTCTCGACCCGTTCCCCGGGACCGGTTTTTCATCCTGAGTCGTTTTTTGACGGTCCCGGGGCCCGGCGAGGGCCCCTTGAGGCCGAAAATTGTGAAAAACCTCCGTCTTGAATTTTTCAATACGTTGGATCTCTGGGTGTTCGCTGACTTCCTCCCAGGCCTGCTCGTCGGCAGCGCTGGCGGACGAGGCCCGCGGCGCGGCCGCCCGAGGGGGAGGCTAGCCCCGGAGCGGGCCCGAGGCCTGGCGCCCGGAGGCCGGCGGGCAGGCCGCCGCGGAGGCTGCGGCCTCTCCCGGGGGGGGCCTGAGCTTTCGAAGAGGGCGCTGTTGAAGGGGCCCCAGGGACACACACACATGAATACACGCAAATGAAAAGATTCCCCGTATTTTCCTATCTATTTTCTTGGTTCTTGTCTTCCCCACCACTTCCCATATGTTCCCATATTCTCTGGGGAGTCGACGATTAATTGTGTCTATGTGCTTTTTCCCCTCCTGAGCTGTGCACGGCCAGATGGCGAGAGTGGGCCGTGTTCACGGAGAGGGCGCGGCGGGCGCGTCTTCAGCCGCTGCCGCGGCAGACGGTGCATGTCCACCCGCCGGGAGCCGGCGCAGCCGGGGAGGGACGGTCGCCTGGCCCACCGCTCTGCGAGTGCTGCTGCGCGCTGGGGTCCGCGCGGTGTGTGCGAGGATCGGGGGGGCACCAAGGTGGGGCAGGGGCACAGGTGGGGCTGGAGGACAAGCCGCTCTGGACGGCCCCCGGAAGAAGGAACAAGAAGCGCGCCACACAGGAGCATCCGGCTGGGCCCGCTCCCCAGCCCCGCCTTGGGAGAACCCTCCCTCGACGACCCCCCGAGAGGAGAGTCAAAAGCGTGCGATCGGGGGTCGACGTCGGCGGAGAAACCTCGCCGGCGTGGCGCGCGCTGGGGTCGCGCCGTGGGCGTGCCGTGGCGCGGCAGGCTCACCCTTTGGGGGGCTGCGGCCTGGCCTGCCTCCCAGCTCCAACCCAGCGTGGTCGTCTTCGGCGCCGTCCTCCTGCTATGGAAGGGGCCCAGGGGCACACAGATAGATAGGCACAAACCCCTGAGTTTTTAACAACTCTGCATAGTTTCTTGATGGTCGTCTCTCCCCCCCCAACTTCCCATAGTCTCCCGTATTGTCCTGGGAATCGACGATTTCTTGTGTCTGTGTGTTTTCCCCTCCTGGTTCTACCTCAGGCACGGTGTGCGGTGACGTGGCCAACGTTCCCGACGCGGCGGGCGCTGCAGCGGTGTTTAGCAGGTGCTGCGGCCTGGCCAGTCAGCCAGCTCCTACAGTGGAGGCCAGTCCAAAGGAAACCTTCCACGAGAAACCCAACCCTGAGACCCCAGGACGCCCATTCTGAGTTTTGGCGTGGGAACGTCGCGCTCTCCATCGCAGAACCATCGAAGCCCAAGAAGCCCAGGGCACCCTGGAGGCAAGCAGGGTGTTTCTCTGCATGGGCATCCACTGTATTCCTCCTTCCTGCCTGCTGGGGTGGGCTGGCGGGAGGGGGGCGAGGGGGGGGGGGGGCGCAACGGCCTGGCGGTCGCGGGCGGGGTGGCGGCGGCGCGCCGCAATGATGGACGGCACGAGGATCGCGGAGAGGGCGGCATGCATGGCCTGGTGCCGCTGATCGCGGGAGGGCTGGCCTGTGCGCGCGAGCTGGCGCTGCCGCCTGAGAGCCAGCAAGTGGCGCGCCCGGAAATGGCAACTCTCGCGGGGCTGGTGCAAATGCCAACTCTCGCGGGGCCGGTGTCCGCCGCGATGACGGTGATCGGTCATCGGACATCGGTCGTCGGTCGTTGCGGCGGCTGGTGCCGCGGCTGGCGGAGTCGTCGTAGAGCGGTCGGCGGTCGCTGGTCCGTCGTCGGTCGTTGGACGTCAGAATGGGAAGCGGCGGCTGTGCCCTGGCCAGCCACCCAGCTCAAGCCTGTCGTCGTCGTCGTCGTCGGCGTCGGCGACGTCGTCATCGTCGGCGTCGTCGGCGTCAGCGTCAGCGGCGGCGTCGGCGTCGGCGTCGGCGTCGTCAACTTCCTGCCTCATCCTCCGTGGGGTGTAGTGGGGCCCAAGGGGGCGGCAGCGGACCAGGTGGGGGTTGGGAAAGAGAGGAAGCGGGGGCGCGGCGTGAGTGCGACGACGGTCGTGCGGTGCCGTGGCAGGCGCTCTCGATGCCGCTGGCGCAGCAGAGGTGCAGCTGGTGCTGGGGCCTGGCATCTCAACCAGCTCCTTATCTTCCACCCTTCCTGCCAGGGAGGAGCAACGGGAGGTTAGGTGGAGGGGCCGCGGCGACCTGGTGGTCGCGGCGGGGCGGCATCCGGACACCGCGGCGGCGATGAATGGCACAGGGCTCGCGACGAGGAGGTCGAGAATGGCGCCGCTGGTCCCGAGGGTGGACGCGCGAGAGACGGGGCATCGTAGTTGGTGGGGCGCATAGCAGCGGGCTCGAAGATGGATCCCGTCGCGATCTTGCCGCTGTGGATTACGCGGTTGCTGGGCTTGGCGTGCAAGCTGGCGCTGCTGGCTTGGAACCAGCGAGTGGCGTGCCCGCCAGCCACCGTCGCGGGGCTGGTGCTGGCCGCGGTGGTGGCCTTCGGACGTCGGTCGTCGCTGCAGTCAGGGCCGCGAAAGCCGCTGGGGCCCGAGCAACGACGCGTGTGAGGTCAGCACGGGGAGCGTGAAGAACGTCAAGAACACCGCGAAGATCACCTTGGAGATCATGTAGACTCATCGCCTTGGTGGGGGCGCCGCCCAGCGAGGAAGCCGGGCGTGACGACGGCCCGGCAATGACAATCACGGACGAGCAGACGGGTGGGCACCATTGCGGGCCCCAGACGTGGAGGAAGTAGGAGCACCAGTGCGGACCCTGCGAGAAGATGAAGAAGCACCGTTGCGGGCCCCGGCAGCAGTAGAAGAGGACGCCTGGGCTGCAGCCGGACGGCTCATGGAGGTCGCCATGGGGATCGTCATGAAGATGGGATTCTCTGAGGGGATGAGGGAGGTCACGTCGGTCGAGAGCGGGCACGCACAGCTTGTGGTCGCCGACCTGGATGGCGAAAACGTGCTAAAACTGTGGGGGTGGCGGAGCACGACGCTGAGCGGAGGGCGATACAACAACATCATCACTGGAAGCAGCACGGTGGAGCCGGTTTCGCCTAGCAGCCGATGAGCGATCGCGGTCACCTCGCGTGCGGCGGTTCACGACTCTATGGCGGCGTTGTGGGAAGTGTAGAGAAGATGGGACGCACATCGGTATCACGGTGTACGACGTGACCCCAGCCCCACCAAGCAATGGGGGGCGGGGGATTTGCGTCATGGCTAGGCGTACCACGGGCAGCGCACGGGCAATTCCCTGAGAGCCGAGACTGCTATATACATATATACACGTGTATAGGATCATATAAGTGTACACAATGCATCTGTATATATGTATAACGAGAGGGAGACATTTACACATTTATATGTGTAGACATCGAGGGAGAGAGAGAGAGAGAGAGCGAAACACAAAAAAGAAAGAGACAGAGAGACAGATGAAGCGAGAGAGAGAGAGAGATAGAAGCAGAGAAATAGGGACAGAGAGAGAGGGGGGAGAGAAAGAGAGAAGGAGAGATACATCTATAAAGAGACAGAGAGATAACACAGCGGGGGAATTTAATGAGAGAGAGAGAGTGAGAGAGAGAGGCAGAAGAAGAGATAGAGAGAGAGAGAGAGAGAGAGAGACGATGTACATATATATATATATATATATACATATATATAGATAGCGAGAGGTAAGTCAAGAGAGATGGCGCAAAAAATATGTATCGATACATATATATATGTATAACAAGAAGGAGTGGGGGAAGCAGAGAGAGAGAGAGAAAAGAGAGAGAGAGAGGGAAAGAGAGACAGAGACATAACAAATACACATAGAGAACAACGCGACAAGAAAGAGCCAACGGTCCGCAACATCCCGCCCTCGTCGCCAGACCCTTCTTCGCGCTCCTGCGGCAGGGGGGGATCGGAGACCGGAGCCAGGCGGCGGGCTGCCGCAGCTGCGCGGAGGGTGGCGCATCGAGCAGCTCCTCCTCCTCCTCCTCCGCCTCCTCCGCCTCCTCCTCCTCCTCCTCCTCCTCCGCCTCCTCCTCCTCCTCCTCCTCCTCCTCCTCCTCCTCCTCCTCCTCCTCCTCCTCGCGCATCGAGCAGCTCAGGACTCCCGGCCAGGCGCGCGGGCAGATGCGCCGCAGAGCGCCGCGCCCCGTCTGGAGATGACGATGTGCGGAGGGCTGGCGTCCCAAAGGCACGGCGACGGGCAAACGGGACAGGCAGCAGCAGAGGCGCACGCGGGCCTGGGAGAGGGCCCAGGCCGACGGGGACGACAGCACAGGACCGGGGCGGGGTAAAGGGGTCAACACAAATGACACATGGAAGACCGACGAGAGGGGGACGACAGACGGCCCCGGTGTCGAAAGGGAGAATGCAATTGCACCAGGCTGGAGCACCCAATGAAGCAACGGCTGAGCGCAAACAGTAGGAACATAACGCGATTACTCCCTCGGGATAGGGTGGCCCAGAAGGAAGCAAGATACAACTTGCTGGCTCCATGCACCCAGCCTGGCAAAGCCCGACCAGCTTCCAGAAGTCAGCGGCCGGGCGGAAAGCTGACAATGCCTCTTGGAAGGCGGCAGGGGGGAAAACGGCTGAGAGATGGGGGGGCGGGGAGGAGGTCACGACACGCAATCACAGGAACGCATGCTTCGCCCAACGCCACAACCCGCCGCCCCAGCAGCCAAAGTACAAGGAAGCGCCCCGTGCCGCTGGCCCCCCCGCCGCTCTCGACCACTTCCCTGGGGCCGGCCTCCTCCTTCCTCCTCCTTCCTCCTCCTCCTCCTCCTCCTTCCTCCTCCTCCTCCTCCTTCCTCCTCCTCCTCCTCCTCCTCCTCGTCCTTCCTCCTTCCTCCTTCCTCCTTCCTCCTCCTCCTCCTCCTCCTCCTCCTCCTCGGTGGGTTCCGCCCGCCGAGGAAGCCGGGAGCACCACGTTCTGTCGGCGGCGACGTGAGCGCACGAAGCGCTATGCAGCAACGGCCAGGACGCGGCAGGCAGAATTACCGTCGGACTGGACTGGGCAGGGCACGCGAGAGGACACAAGACCCTTCCGAGCGCCACATTGCCACAGGAATGTAGGAGGCACAGGTCGCGAGACACAGGACACAGGGGTACCCTTGATTTGGCAGGCTCGTCGTACTAATCAGTGCCGACTGTACGCACCTGCACCAGATGTTGACTACCTACCAGACCACCCCAACCCAACCCGAAGACCCGAATTTCGGGTTGGGGGGGGTAAGGGTTCCACACGTGTTTTTTCGATGTTCCTCGACCCCCCCCCACAACTGGAAATGGAGGGCAAATCTGAGCCTTCGGGTTGGGTTGGGGTGGTTTGGTGGGTGGTGAGATGTAAAGGGAGGAGGACGCCAGAAAGACACTTGCTCGAGGCGGTGGAGGCCCGAGGATGCCGGCGACCGCGGGTGGCGCGCTCCTCGAACTTCTCCCCGCGGATGAAGCAGAGGCCCTGGCGCGCGGAGGCAAGCCTATCTTTGGATTAAAGATGTGTTAAAACTGTGTAAAACATGTCCTAACAATGTTTCAAACATGTTTGTATCTGTTTGAAGCATGTTTGAAATATGTTTTAGACATCTTCAAATTATGTGGCAGCATGCTTCCTCTCCACTAATCGCCTTCCACAAACAGAGCTCCTTGCCCCATCTCGTTCGCAGTCCTGGGAGAAACGGGTCTTGAGGTTTTCCGCCGTGTTTGGCCCTCCTGGGCCCCTCATGGGCCGCGGGATTTTCCGAAAACGGCTCAGGGCGAAGGACTGGTCCTGGGCGAAAGCCCGTGGGGTCCAGGACCACGAATGATTTCCCTATGTTTTCGACGTGCATGCAGACATAATTCTGCATCTATATATAACACGCCTAGAACTATCGCGCGCGGTTCGCACGCGCTCAAGTTCTAGCGCAAGCCGGGGGGCGCCGCTGCAAACAATGGACAACGCTATCCCGCACAAGTGTGTGCCACAGTCGTACGCATCCTAACACACATCCTCTCCTCCTCTGCCTCAGATTGATGAGACTCATCGTCACCATCACAATATATATCATGATGGTGCTCATAAGCGTCATCATCATCATCATCATCATCAGCAGCAGCAGCAGCAGCAGCAGCATCAGCATCAGCATCAGCATCAGCATCATCATCATCATCATCATCATCATCATCATCATCAGTACCATAATCACCAGCATGGGGACCTCCTCGGCCCAACGCTACCACCAATGCCGCCACGTCAAACCCACGCACCAGAATCGTCACCATCATTAACAGCATCATCCGTATCATCATGTGAATCATAAGTGTCATTCTCAATCCCATCACCATCATCATCAACGCCGCAACGTTGATCGTTCACCCCGTCAGTGCCACCGTGCTGCCCATCATCATTCCCATCGCAACCGTACTGAACATCGACATCGTCATCATCGTCGGCCAAACGCTCACACAGAGGACTCCTCGAACATCTGGCCGAATGGGCGCCTCGGGGAGCCTCTTGGAAGCGTTGGGGCGGGGTGGGTGGGTGGGGTGGGGTAGGGTGGGTGGGAGGGTGGGTGGGGTCGGGTGGGGTGGGTGGGAGGGTGGGTGGGGGCCCCACCACTGTTTTTCCTGGGGGGGGTTCGGGACCCTCCCACTAATTTTCCCGGCAGGGGGGTTTCGGACCCTCTCTGTTTTTTGGGGGGGAGGGGAACCCCCGCCCCTGCCAGCAGCGGAAGGAGGCGCCCTTTCAGACCACCCAAGAGGCTCCCAAGATGGACCAACGCGGCCTAGAGAGGCCCCCAAGGCGGGCCCCCAAGAGGTATGCAAGAAGCTTTCAGGAAGCTCCCAGAAGGCACCAAGAAGGCTTCTCCTCCTCAGCCTCAGTTTCTCCATCTCCTCCTCCTCCTCCTTTTACGTTGATCGGACATAACCTGTACAGCTGTTGCGTTCTACCTCCTCCTCCTCCTCCTCCTCCTCCTCCCCCTCCTCCTCCTCCTCCTCATTCCTCCTCCTCTCTACCGCGCGGACGAGCACGAGATCGGGATCACGACCCGCCCCAATGCAGACTACTCGTCAGAATTGTGTCGTTCCTGCGCTTAGCCTCCTTCCTGCTGCGCTGTTGCACAGGCGCGGTGGCGGGGTTTGCCGCAGGCAACCGGACACCGCAGAAGCCGCCGTGGCTGCATCCTGGGAGCGGGGCCTGGCCGCGGTTGCACCACAATTGCACAACGTCTCCCACACACACATGCATGCTTAACACTTGAACGACGAAAAGATACGGGTCTTACGCGAGATGGCACAGCGACCTTGCGCAGTGGCTTACGCGGGCCGCCCGCGCGGCACGTCGCACTGGAAATGGGGGCGCGTACGCGCGACCTCGCGCGGGTGGGTCACGCGCCAATGTCGGCGCAGCCGAACCTGTTTTTCTGCGTTGCTCACTTGTCCCCGTCGTCGTCGTCGTCGCCGCCGCCGCTGCCGCCGCCGTCGTCGCCGTCGCCGCCGCCGCCGCCGCCGCTGCAGTCGTCGTCGTCGTCCTCGTCCTCGTCGTCGTCGTCGACGTCGCCGCCGCCGCCGCCGCCGCCCGTCCGCCCGTCCGTCCGTCCGTCCGTCCGTCCGTCCGTCCGTCCGTCCGTCCGTCCGTCCGTCCGTCCGTCCGTCCGTCCGTCCGTCCGTCCGTCCGTCCGTCCGTCCGTCCGTCCGTCCGTCGTCGTCGTCGTCGTCGTCGTCGTCGTCGTCGTCGTCGTCGTCGTCGTCGTCGTCGTCGTCGTCGTGTCCTGACAATTGCCACGGTCACCCCGACAATCGGGACCTCCGGCAGGACGACCCGGGGCGACGGCCTGGGCCCGGTGACTCCCACATCGGCCCGACCATGGCCCCTCCCGGGCCAGGAGCTCCGCGCCGCTTCGCCTCGCGCGCACGCGGCCGCACGCGCACCACGCACGCTTCCCTTCGGTCTCCCCCCCCCCACCTCGGATATACGACCTCGCGGCCCAGGCTCCCCGGCCGCGACCCCGTCGAGACGGGGCGGCTCTGCGTGGGCGCCGCGCGTGGAGCGCGCCAACCGGAGCGCGCATCCGTGGGACCCCGCCTCGGCATGTGCAGACGGCGAGGCGCCGTGGGCATGGGTACGTCCGGACTGCGAGGTCGTGGGCATGGATATGCTCGTCGCTGGCGATCGCTCGTGGACATGGCCTCGCCCTCGCCGCCCCTCCCTGCCTGCGGGGCGCGCGCTGGCCCCCCGCTGAGCGGCGGGGCCCGGTGGGGGGGGAGGGCTCGCCGAGCGGCGGGGCGGCTTCGTGGGCACGGACCGCCAGATCTTGACGCGCTCGTCCTGCTGCGGGCGCCCGCGACGCGTCCTCCTCGTCCTGCTGGTTTGCGTCGTCGCCATCCTCCTCGCCAACCTCCTCGTCCTCTCGTCCTCCACCTCCTCCGCCTTCTGCTTATCCCCAGCATCCTCCTCCAACTCGATCACAATCCTCCTCCTCCACATCCTCCTGCTCCTCCTCCTCCTCCCTCCCTCCCTCCCTCCCACCCTCCCTCCCTCCGCCCCTCATCACCCTCTTCCACCCCCTCCACATCCCCCTCCTCCTTCTCATCTGCATCCCCGTCCCGCCCTTCTAATCCACATCCTCGGTTTCGTCGGCTTCGACTCCCCCATCGTTCTCGTCGTCCTTCTCATCCTCGTTCTCTTTAGGCAACCACGTGTGAACCCTACCCCTACAAGTCAGATTTCTGAAACGCCGGCTGGGTCTCAGACTCCGAAAGATATCTGCAACCAAGTGGACCTTGGCGGGGGTGTCCGATACCCCAGCGTCGAGTGGACCCGCATGTGTAGCGTTCGAAATCGGTTGCAGACTCTTGCTATTCCTCTCCATCTCGCGTCCCTCACCATCCTCCCGCGCCTCCACCTCCTCGTCCTCCGCCCCCTTCTTCCCCTTCCCATCCTCCGCCTACCCCCGCGCGGGAGGCCCCCAGGAGGCCCCCAAGACGCTCCCGAGAGACCCCCCCCCACGAGATCTCCAAGAGGCTGGCCAAAGACTCCTCGAGGCCTCCAAGAGGCGTCTGGCCCACGATCCAGGCACGGTGGCAGGATGAGCCGAAAACCGCTAGATACCAGGCTCTGGCCAGAAAGCTGACCTTGTTTTCTAGACACACGCACTGTCGCATTCGGGGAAAGTGCCATCATATATACCTTGAGGTGCGATCCTCGCCGGCTTTGCGTGGGCTTCTTCATGGCGCACCGGCTGGCAGGCCAGCCTCCTACGTGACGTGGGCACTGTACCACCACAGCTGCGCCAGCACGCAGATGCAGCGCGAGCGCACCGCATGATGCGAGGAGCAGCGAGGGCCACCGCTGCATCCCGAGGAGGACGCGCCCCACCTCCGCGAGACAGCCCCCGCGAGCACTTCTCGGCGGCATCCTCCCAGGCAGGGCAACGGCGAAGTGGGCGGCGGAGATGGCGAAGTCGATGACGCCGACGACGGCCGCTCGGTGCCAGTGGGGCGCGTGCGCGCGCTCTGCGAACCTCAAAGAAGGGCATGCTACATGTGGCGAGCGCTGGGCAAGAACCGTCAGATTGCGTCCCACGCTGTGGGATGCCATCGGGGAAAGGGCCCGACTGCAACGAGTCCCCAGATCACGTCCGTGAGAGCAATCATTGAGGCTCCGAGCTCTTCAGCGACGGGGTGACCCCCAGCACACGGCGCACGCTTTGCCTGTGCTGTCGCGCCACTAGGCAACCACGTGTGGCCCCTTCCCTTGCAGGTCAGGTTTCTGAAGCACATGCCAGGGTTCCAGATTCCGGAGGTGTTTTCTTCAATTTCCCCAACCATCCTGTGGTATTGGGCCCTCGTTTTTAATCTGCAGCACCCCGCGTCTCACTCCTCCTTCCTTCCCCCTCCTCCCCTCCCCGCCTCTACCCCGCGCGTGCCCATTTCATCCCATTTCGGCACGTCCCTCGCACGCGCCGTGGCCCAATAGCAAGCTCCACCGAAGCCCCCAGGGGGTGGTGTCGCAGGCGGCCCCCGAACCCGTGTCTGCACACTCCTCACACGTTCGGTGGCTCCATCAGGAGCCCAACCGAACGCCCCAAGAGGCTGGTCTTGCATGTGGTTCCCCGACCATTTCGGTACACCCCTCGCATGTTTCGTGGCCCACAGGGAGTTTCGAAGCCCCAAAAGGGTGGTGTTCCATGGGGTCCTCCTGACCATTTCGACACACCCTTTACACGTCCCATGGCCCCACAGCAAACTCCACTGAACGCCCCCCGAAGGTGGTGTTGCAGCGTTGCATGCGGTCATGCGGTGGGCGGTGTAGCATAGCATCCCCCGCCCATTCCAGCAGACCGCTCGCAACTTCCGTGACCATGCAAGGAGCTCCACCAAAGGCCTCAATTGCAAGGTGGCGCGCAGGGTCCCCCCGCCCATTTCGGCACAGACTTCACGCGTTTCTCTGCCCCGCAGGGGGGCCCGACGACGTCCTCAGCTAAGTACACGGTCTCGCACGCAGTTCCCCCAGCCCAGTTCGGCCCACCCGTTGGGCGTGACGTGGTCCACATGGAACCCAACCGAAGGCCTGAACGGCAGGGTATCCCATGCGCCCCCTCCTTCTTGCGGCGCATTCCCTATGATGAGGAGAGCGTTCCCTGTGCTACTCGCAGCTGGTTCGGGTTGGGTCCTTCGCCAGGCGAACTTGTTGAAAAAGAACGTATGGTGGATGTCTGCATCCGAACGACACCCCCTGGATGGGGTGGTGTCCGATACCCTCGATTACACGCAAGAGCAGCCGTGAGCAAAAGTGACCTTTGGTGCGAAGTTTCAAAGGGCCGCGGGGGGGCCAAACCCAAGCGCGCAGCCCAATGCTGCGGGGATCCCTGTGGGCCCGCATCAACGGTCACTCTGGCGATGGGTCACACTCACGTGTAGCCGATGGTGCTCTGGCGTCGATTGGACTCGCGGGGGCACGGCTCGCGGCCGGTTGCAACGGTACCGCGCCCCTCGGCTGCACCCGCTCGCGCGACCTCCCCCGCGTGGAGTGGCCGCGCCCTCTGCGGCAGCGCACGGGCGGGAGTGTACAAAGCGGCGCACGCCTGCCCTGCTTCCAAACAGCCTCGCCCACGCCACCGACCTCGTCGTCCTCATTGTCATCTGTCTCGCCGCCCCCCCCCCATTTCGCGCGTGACGGCCCAGCCAGCCCGTCGCAGCCCAGCGCGTCCTGGGGCGGCAGACTGCGACCTTTGCGGCGGCAGCGGGCGCCGTGCGGCATGTGCACGCCCCTACATCCCCGTTAAGAAAGTTAATTCATCTTGGCTAAAATTGACATGTGTGGGCGCTGTGGTGAGAAGTGGTATGGGAGTGAGTATTCCTTGTGGTTTCACACGGGGAGAGATTCAGAGTTGCCTGGAAGTGACCGGGAGTGATTTCTCCCTTGTGAATTTACGGGGGAGAGATTTTATCCTGAATTGGTTATATACTATTAATGCTACCAGGGAGAACCCCAGAAATCTCTCCCGCCAAGCCAGGCCGAATACTGCCGTGCTAGGAGTCTACGGGGGGAAGGGGGGGCCACTCGGAGACGCCCTAGGTCGTCAGTGCTCAAGATGAATAGCTTTCGTAACGGGTAAGTCTATTCCAAAGCGGCCGCTTGGGGCGGCGACGCGGCATAGAGTTCGAGCGTTGCGGCTGAGGAGGAAGAAAAGGAGGAGGAGGAGGAGGAGGAGGAGGAGGAGAAGGAGGAGGAGGAGGAGGAGAAGGACAAGGAAAAGGAGGAGGAGGAGGAAGAGGAGGAGGAGGAGGAGGAAGAGGAGGAGGAGGAAACGTCGCCGATGGGACGTTCGTCTGGTTACTAACAGCGGCGCGGCCCCGCTCCGCCCGAGAGGTCAGCCGCGAACCTCAAGGCGTGCTGGGCGGCACCGTCGGCAGCGCATTGCTTGCTGTCGGAGATCGGACGGCGTCGTCCGTCGTCATGCAGGAGCTCGCCACCCAGCTGGCCACGGGGCACGCTCAGCTGGTGTCGCAACTTCCCGCAAACCATGCAGTGCTGGATCTGGTCGCTGCCTTCGCCCGCGCCGCAGCCAGATTGACGGCAGCGCTTCCCGTGCAGGACGCGCATTATGTACGACGTCGTCCATGCGCCCGTCAGCATTTTGATGGCTGTCCACAGCCGAGCGGGAGGTAGGGTGGCAAGATGCACGCGGAGCCGCTTCCATCGTGCAAATAGGTCTTGTGGAACGCGGTCGAGCTGCAAGATGTCGATGCTCTCGGGCCCGTCGAAGTCGTCGGTCGGACACGCGTCCTCAATGTCCTGGGTGGGGTCGGCGTCTATCTCGTCGGTCGATGCGTCGAAGACGTCCGTGCTGACCCAACGGCGGCGGGCTCGATGGATAGCGACCCCATCGGAGAGTAGTGATGCTTGTTGACGCGCCTCCTCGCGTGTGTACGTCGGGCGCGAAAGGCGATGTCCCAGGGGCGCGCGACCGATGGCGCCCCCCCCCCAGGCTTGGCGGCTCATCTAGGTGGCGACCCGCCTGCGCTGAAGGCGGGTCAAATACAATGGTTGGAAGTTTTCGCGGCCCATGACGTCGGTGAAATCTTCCGTGCGCCAGCGCGCCCAGTCGGCCTCGTGGTCGATCTGGTGGTTGGCGAGGGAGGTGTCAGGTAGCCATTGCGCAGCCCAGGCTTGGGCGTGCCAAAAGGCATTCTTGTTCTTGTTCAGCGACAGCATGCGGCCCGTCGGGCGGCGCGCTCCCGCGCTGGCGGGCGTCGACCGCGCCAGCTGGCGGCGCCGGCGTCGGCCAGCGCGTCGGAGAAGAGCTTCTCGCGGAGCACGGTGATGTGCGCTTTCTGAGGAGCGACGCCTGGGCGAGAGCGCCCAGCTGGCACGCCGGGCCCGGCATCGCGACAACGCAGGACGGCGCTGCAATCCGGGTCGAGCAGCTCACTTGTGGATGCCGGCGCTTTCAACGCGAGCTCGTGAGCGAGGTCCTGCTGTTGGTGGGCGCCGCAGAAACTTCGAGCCCCTGCCCGCGGCGAGAAACCAACGGAATTGGAGGCGCCCTCGAAGCGCTGCGCGATCGCGACCCCGATCTCGCAGCAGTCGTTGCACCGCGAGCCCTGCTGCGCGGCGACGGTGGGGAGCTCGGCGTGGGCGGTGCCGCGCAGCTTCTGCAATGCTCTCCTCCGCTCTGTCGCAACGATCACCGCTGTCCACCGCGTGGCTGCTGCCGGGTGCGTTTCAATGCCGCTCGGGATTTCGATCTCGGCCCATAGAGCGATTGCGACTCTGTCAGATTTCGCGAGGCTGGGCGGGGCGACGCGCAGCTGCTCAAGGAA